GAGGAGGGGAGGAAGAGGCAGGGGATAAGGAGGGGGAGGGGGAGAAGGTGGAGAAGCCCCATTAAGCCGTCCTGGTTGGAGGAGGGCCACTTGAGACAACGGCGGCCCTCCCGCCCAGCCCACATTCGTTCAGCATCGATCCCTGGACCCCTGCCGGGGTCCATCCTGGCGCGTTTCTCACCGCGGACCCAGCCGCGGCCAAAGAGGACGATAAACGCGGGAGGGCCGCCATCGTCTCGACTGGCCCGCCTCCGACCTCATTTTATGCACGCCGCCGTCCGCCGCCGCCAGCGCGCTGTCAGGGTCACAGATCGATCCCTCCTGGGGCGCGTTCTGCCTCCACTTTCGAAGCGGACCCAGCCGTGACCACGAGGGTACCCCAGGACGGCCAAAAACCGGCAGAAGAAAGCCAACCTTGATCTAACCAGCCTCGAACGTATCCCTATCCCTAAGATGGGCGAGCAAAAAGCAAGGACAATCTCAGGGATATGCCCTCAACAACTGAGGGAATCCTCAAGATCGGCATCGAGGTGCGGTGATGTCAAACATAGGGGTAGGGATATGTTCCAGGCTGGTGATGATCCTCGCACCTGAAAATGGTGACAGTTTCGCAGATCGCAGCCCCCCAGGGATGGCGAGGTCTAATCTGAATCTGCGTATGACCCCACTCCGCTGCCCCCCCCCAGCAGCCCTCGACAGTGGTGACAGTTTGACAAATCGCAGCCCCCCAGCGATGGCGAGGTCTAATCTGAATCTGCGGAAGACGTCACTCCGCTGGACCCCCCAGCAGCCTTTAACCTCGCTGCCCCTGCGCCCGCATTTTCCGCACGCCCGGCGCCCCGGCTCGCCGGCCGCCGCCCAGCGCGCGCGAGGTCACGCCGCGCCGAGGCGGAAGACGCGCACGGCGCCGCGGAGCCACGAGATCTGGGGCCGCAGCGCCTCGCGGCCGGCCGCCGCCGCAAAGACCGCCCTGCGGTGCGCCTCCTCCTCCCCCTCCTCCTCCTCCTCCTCCTCCTCCTCCTCCTCCTCCTCCTCCTCATCCTCCTCTCCCTTCTCCTCCCCCTTCTCCTCCTCCTCCTCCTCCTTCTCCTCCTCCTCCTCCTGCTCCTCCTGCCTCTTGCCGTCGCTCGGACGTCCATTTCTGTTCACTTGTCGGTTTCGTGCGTGTCGTTTCTGCTCGATGGTCCAGGATGGTCCTCGATGGTCCTCGCCGGGGAAAAAAAAAACACGTCCGAGCGATGCCAAGGCCTGGGGCCTCCTCGCGTCGCTCTGGCAAAAGACCCCAGCAAAGCACACGAGTGGCAGCAAGGGTGGAGTGGCGGGTCGAGGCGTGGGCGAAGCACGGCCGCGAAACCCCGAGAAAGAGCGATGCAACCGGGACATGGGTGAGAGCTCCGCCATGTGCACTGCGGTGTTCTTCTTGCAAGGGGTCGCGGCCGCCCATACCAAACATGTAGCCAGCACTGAGGCAAGAGCACGATTCCTAGAAAAAGAATATGAAGAACACCCGAGCGAAACGGCTGCAGGACCGGGCGGCCTCTGTCTCCCCTTCGCCTCTGCGGGACTCTTCTGAGCTCTTCGAACCTCTAACAAAACTTCGAACCTCTAACAAAACTTTCGAACCTCTAACGAAACTTCGAACCTCTAACGGAACTTCGAACTTCTAACGGAACTTCGAGCGAAACTAACCATTGCCAGAACCCCTAACGAAACTTCGAAGATACAGCGCGACGGCTTTGCTCCCCAAGCAGGGCTTGAACTTGGGGGCTCCTTGCTCAAGTTGCGACTATGGCGCGGTTTCGTCCGACGCCCGGCTGGTGTGCGCCTCGTGGGCGCTCCTCGTGTGGGGGGTCTGTCGGAACTTCGGTTGGTGCCCGCCGGCGACGACGTCGTCGACGGCGGCGTCGACGACGTCGTCGAAGTCGAAGTCCACGACGGCGGCGACGACGACGACGACGACGACGATGAGCGCGTCTGGCGGCGGCGGCCGCGGCGCACGTCGACGGAAGGGCGCACTCGGCCAACAACTCGCCGCCGCGCCGCCAACCCAGCCGCTCGCGGTCATGGGGCGGAGGCCTTCTGAGAGGCCTCCAGGGCCTGCTAAGAAGGCCCCAGCCTTCGAAAGAGGCACCTGCCCCTTCTTCGTGAGCCGCCCCCCCTGGCGCACCCCCCCCCCGGGGCGCCTCTGCCCGGGACCTCTTCGCGTCGTGAACAGAAGTGCGACGGATCTGTTTGTTGTTTGGACTGTTTCGCTGGGCAACCACAGGGGGCTGGCGCGAGGGGGCTGGCGTTCCAAACATGGCGGCGGGGCTTCGAAGAAGGGTCGGGGGGCCTTCTTAGAAGCCCGCCTGGCTACGAAGGAGCCTCCTCAAACGCCCTTAGGGTGTCCAAGCAAGCCTCAGCCTTCCAAGAAGCCCCCGCGCTTTCTCACTGAGCCGCCCTCCTCGCGCAAGCAAATTGTGCGCGCCGCCAGGACTGCGTCGCGCCGTGAAAGGCAAAAACGCGACGAATCTGTTTTCGGCCCGGAGTCTGAAGATCGGAGGACGACTGTGGATTTTACTAGTTTTCCAGCCGTCTCGTGGCCACGGCTGGGGGAGGGCACGCCCAGAACAGCAGAGGATGGAACACAATCCTTCCGTTCAGGGCCAAGGGTGGGTGGGCAGTGCGACCGCGCTCGGACCCTGCCCCTACCTTTACCCCTCTCCTCCTCTCCCTCGCCCTCCTAGTCCGCCTCCCTCTGCCACTCTCCCTCTGCCTCTCCCTTACCTCCCCCTCATTCGACTCCCCCTCCGCCTCCCCATTCTCCTTACCCTTCCTCTCCTCCTCTCGCTCCCCGTCTCCTACGGACCATCAAGAAAATGTAGACACGAACTTTGCCCCATCCATCGCTAGCCACCACCACGACCACGGTCGCGAACACGGCAATGACGAAGATAAGGGCGGGAGTGGATGGAATGGGAGAGAGTGAGGGGAATAAACATGTGTTGAGATGCTTGTCTCGATGACCGCAGCAGATACTGTTTGCCGAGGGCTTCTAAGATGCAGCTGCGATAACATCTTGCTGAGGCCACTCTTCGTCCACCCCCACCCTTTTGTCCTCCCAGTGACCCCCTGGCTCCCTCGCCTCTCCCTCCTGCCTCCTCAGGCTCACCACAGGCTCATTACCCCGAGCAACAACTTACGATGGTGCCGGCACACGGGTGCGCACTACTTGTGGCTACGGCGCGGTACTCCCCCAGCGGACCCCTTTAGCCCACTGCTCTTCCTACCCGATTATCCCAGCACCCGTCTTATCTACGTACTCTCCCGTATTACAAACGCCCACTGCAGTCTGTCGCAACTCAGATGTGGTTGCGCCAACGAGACACAGCAATGCCAGCATTGCCACCATAGCATCCACTCATTTTTGCGAGCAGGAATCACTATCGCTTCTGCGTGCACTTTGATGTGTAGCTGCTGTGGTTACTGTTGCTGTGTAGCAAGCCATACGCCCGCAAAAACTACACGGTCATCGTACGACGACCGGCACTGCTGAGCATTCGATGTCAGCTTGCGCACGGGAGCCAAGAGGGTCCCACCAAAACGTATCATGACTGCGTCCTGATGGATTGACCTCCCCCCCAACTCAAGAATGCAACGGGGCACGAGCGCTGCGACACAAGTGCCCATTGCCGATGGTGAGGGGAAGAGATGGCGAAAGGGGGGAGGAACCGTGGATAGTGCATCCGACGCAGATCTGGAGGGGAGAAGTGACCAGTACGTGGCACGCAGCCGGGAACGAAAGGGGAAGACGCCAAAGGATTGGCATGAGAAAAGGCGAGACGGAGAAGAGGAAGGGCAGAGGGGAAAGTGTGCCAGGGGAGGCGGGAGAGAATACATATATATATATATATATATATACATACATACATATATATATATATATATATATATATAAACGTATATGTATATATATAGAAAGAGAGAGAGAGAGAGAGAGAAAACAACCAAATATAGAGAGACGAGAGGGCAGGAGGAGGGAAGGGGGGGCACTGTTTGGTGCTGTGTTGCGTGAAGCGTCTGCGGGGGGGAACGGTGAGCAGGGGGAGAGGGGAGGAGAAGGGAGGGGCGGGGCCGCGGGAGGACGAGAGGGATGGCAGCATCGCGGGGGCGGAAGCGCAGCTTGCTCAGCCCGACGCCTTCACATTATGCTCCTCATCGTGCTGCTTCCCCCTCCTCCCACTCCTCCCCCTCTTCGGTCCATCTCCTCCCTCTCCGCCGTCTCGTCCCCCTCCTCCCCCCATCAATATCACGCTCCTCCTCAGTCTCAGCAGCACCAGCGCCACCACCAACACAACCACCACCGTCGCCATCAGCATCGTCAGCCTCAGCATCGTCATCATCATCCGCATCCGCGTCCCCATCCTCATCGTCGCATATGCCCCACTTCCTCCACCTTGTGATTCTCCTCTGCACTCCCCCCCCGCCACCTCCTGCATGTTCCTTCTGGGATCGGCCCGGCTGCGCCTCCGATGCCTCGACGTCCAGCCTGAAACCGAGGCCCTCGACGAGCCCAAGCACCTTCCAGTAGCGGGGTCGACAGCAGCGCCGAAAAGCCCAGGGAGCGTCGCTGCGTTGCCAAAGTGATCTTCGCCCTCCTCCTGCAGCCTCGCTTATTCTGCTCTCCTCCCCACACCTGCCTCCTCCTCTTTCTCCTCCTCCTCCTCCTCCTCCTCCTCCTCCTCCTCCTCCTCCCCCGCCTCATCATGGTAGCCCGTTGCTGTCGCCGTCGCCGTCGCCGTCGTGATCTTCATGGTCGTTCGGCTCCTTGCCTTCTCCTCGTAAGTCCTCGTCGCGTCACTTCTCGAGGCTGCGTGGCTGCACCGAGCGCTGAAACGCGTCGTGCAACGACGAGCAGGGCCTCACTGCAGGGGAGGAGGAGGAGGGAGGACGAGGAGGAGGAGGAGGAGGAGGGAAGGGGAGGAGGAGGAGGAGGAGGAGGAGGATGATGATGATGATGATGATGATGATGATGATGAGGAGAAGGAGGAGGAGGAGGAGGAGAAGGAGGAGGGGCATGTAAAAGCAAGCCTTCCCCTTCACGGACCTGAGTCCCGGAACGTTCGCTTCGCGTGTCGCAGCGGCGGCCCCTGCGACACGCTGCGCCTGGCAGCCCGATGGCGTGCCGCCCTGCTTCGTGGGACGGGCGGCTGGGACAAGCTCGGAACGTCGACGCTTGCTGGCGGCGCGCACAAGGGGGGGTAGGGGGAGGGGGGAAGGCTTCTTAGACTCGTAGACGCACCCTGCTTCATTGGAAGGCCTCGGCCTGACGTCTATAGAGAAGGCCCGCGCCTTCTAAGAAGCCTTCCCCGCTCCCCCTACCCCCCTTCTGCGCGCCGCCAAGCTTGGGGACCGGGAAGTGCTCATCATGTCACGCCGAGGCTTGGTGGGTCAAAATAGGCGGTGCGACACGCGAAGCACACAGTCCTGACGGTAACCGCCCCCGCCGCGTCCACCGGATTAGGAAACGCCACCGTGCACCGCAACACCACCCCACTCCTCGGAGAGAAGCCCGGGCTCGGACGACCTCGACGAAGCGGGCCACCCACGCTGTGGCAGGCCGCAAATCGCCACCGAGGGCCGCTATTCGTGCGGCCGCTGAGACTCCAAAGTCTCGCGGCGGGTCGAAGCGTCGGCGGCTGAGAGTTCGGATCGGGAGGTACAGTCAAGCTGGTACTAGAATGAGCGCTAGCGAAAACCTTTTCCGGCCCCCCAGGGCACCGAAGTGGATGAGGAGCGTTGGAGGAACAACCGTGGAAGGACCTGAGGGACAGCGAACTGCTTCCAAATCCGAGCTGCTATTTCGTTCAGCGTCTTGGCTGTACGTGGGCCACTGGAGAGCATCTGGAGCAGCGCCTCTGCAACTGGGCTCGGAGAGATGGAGCATAAGAAAATAACGGGGAACCCAGTCACAGAATCATCAACGTTCGTAGATCTGCGCGGGCATCCGAACAGATGTATATTCACATACAGATAGATCAATATGTACATGTATCTTTGAGTGCATGCAAGTTCCGAGGGAGCAACACGGGGGGGGACAGGGGCAAGGAAAGGGAGCAACAGGGCGGGATATAGAAAAGGCTGTCGTGATGACCGCACAGGATGTGGAGAGAAGACGGGTGATCGCACAGGAGGCGGAGGGAAGAGGAGAAGGTGGAGGAGTAGGAGGAGGGGGAGGGAGGAGGCGGGGGGAGGAGGGAGGAGGAGGGAGGGGGAGGCGGGGTAATTGGCAGAAGGGAGGCCTTGCATGAGTCTGCCTCGAAAGTCCCCGGGAGACGGAGCTACAAGAGTAACCCGATGAGCCAGCGGCCTGGCAGTAGGGCGCGGGCGACGGCCTCACCACGGCGGCACCCATGCGGACGGCCACAGCAGCGGTGCTGGGCAAGGAGGGAGGCCAGATGAGGAACACCTGTACACCAGAGAAGACCCAACCAGTGCACTTCTGCACATGTTCGCCTGTACCCCTCGCCTGTCATCAATAGTATCTCTCCATCTCTCTCTCTGCCTGCCTGCCTGCCTGCCTGCCTGTCTGTCTGTCTGTCTGTCTGTCTGTCTTTCTGTCTGCTTGCCTCTCAAAAGTTTCATGTACTATGCGTGCATGCATGTCTGTATGTATGTTTCAATGTATGCACACGCCTCTCTCTCTCTCTTTATGTGTTTGTGTTCTCTCTCTCTCTCTCTGTTTTTCTCTCTCTCTCTCTCTCTCAATATCCCCCTTTGTCTCTCAGCATCTTCCTCCCTTCCGCTCTCTCTCTCTCTCTCGCCCCTTTTGCTCTGTACACAACTTACAACATGTGTCCTCTCAGCTCGCTGTGCACTTTACTCTCTACAATGTACAAGTGCTCTCTCTCTCTCTCTTTCCCTACGCCTCCATCTTTTCAGCTCTGTCCTATTCCCTGTGATGTGTGCTCTCCCGTCTGTGCTGCATGCTCTTTCAGTTTGACCATAGTTGCATGTACTCTTATTTGTTGTTTCTCTCTCTCTCTCTCTCTTCTCTGTATACGTGTAAACACAATATCTCTCTCTCTTTTTCTCGTTATGTACGTTGCTGCTTTGTTCACGGCATGTTCCCAACAACTCGCTCTGCTGTATTAACGCGTATTATCTACTCCCTCTCTACTTAACCCTGTTCTCTACAATGTGAGATGAACTCGTTCCTAGGTGTTTCCACTATCTCAACTCTCATGATGACCCTAATCACAAACCGTGCTTCTCTCTTCTCGGTGCTTCTCTCTCTCTCTCTCTTTCTTTGTAGCTTTATCTCACTAGTTTACTCACTGTGCCCAGCATCTCAACTCACTCGGCTCTCTATCCTGTAACAAGCGGTCTCTATCCTCTCTACTCCGCTGTGCTCTCTACTCTCTGGCATGTACTCTCTTCTGTCTAATTTCTCATACCGGCCGCAGTCGGACGGACCCGGACACTTAGCCGAGAAACCGAAAACTCGAACCCCACAACTTCTTTCAATGCCGGGCCACCCCCGCCAAGAACCGGAACCTCGGAACCCGGCCGCCCACCGAAAAATCGGAGACTTAGAACCCGCAGCGTGGAACCCAGGATCCTGGACGCCCGCCGGAGTCGGCGGGGAACTTTCGCCAAATCCGCCAATATCCGCCAGGACCACATCAGTAGAAACACGGATTGGGGAAAAAGGAAGGCTGATGGAGGGAGGAGGGGGATGAGGAGGCGAAGGGTGGGGGGGGGCAAGAGGGGAGGGGGTCGGAGGAAGGCGGGAGCTTGGGTCAGGCACGCAGGACAAAGATGAAGGATGAGGGATTGAGGAGAGAGGAGGGGGAGGAGGAAGGCGGCAGGAGGGAGAGAGGAGGCAGATGGAGGCGGACGGAGGGATTAGACGGAGGATGGGCGGAGGTGGGGAGGGAGGCGGAGTGCCAGGAGGAGTACTCGTTTTTTGTAACCAATTGGGTCTACCTATTCCCGCGTGTGCGAGACGCTACTCCCTTGTGCGAGTGCCTCCTGCCGACAGGCTGTCTGAGTCGTCGCAGCAGGCGAGGCCCCGCGGGCAACGCCAACAGGCGCTGCCCTTGGGGTACGCGGGTGCCTCTGGGCAGGGAGGGCCTGTAGGCGTGCCTGTAGGCGTGCCTGTAGGCAGGGAAGGCCGGAAGGAATGAGTATATGCAGGGAGGGAGTGTGCCCTATGGGCGACGCGGGCCGGTAGGCTCGCCTGTAGGCACGCAGGAAGGGAGTGCCTCTAGGCAGGGAGGGCATATGCTTAAGTCCAGCCTGTCCCCCTACAGGACCAGCTTGAACGAAAAATCAAGAATGGTCGAAAAAAATTAATTCAAAACTGGTGAAAACATCTTCTCCTGACCATTTTTGACTATTTTTGAATATTCCTCCTGTAGAGAGAAAGGCCCGACTTAAGCATATGTGCTCTCCTGCAGTCGGGGAGGGTGGCCTTCAGGCCTCGGCCGTGAGGGGCGCGCACCAGACAGCCGCCCCCCATTCCTTCTCGCGCGGCGCAAATCCACGTGCACGAAGGTCGAAGGAGCCGCGCTTATCAGCTGCACCTTGGCAGCTGGTTCGTCCAGGTCCTGCGTGTCCCGCAGTAGGCACAAACAGCAGCAGCTCATGCCTTACTCTGATCTCGGGATGGAGGAGGCGAAGGGAGGAGCGGGAGAGAAGGAGGGAGGGAGGAGCGGGGGGGGGGAGAAGGAGGAAGGAAAGGAGGAGGTGGATGGGGGAGGCAGGAGGGGTGGGAGGGATGCGTCGGCGCCCCTCTAACGGCGACTCCACTGACGGGCACTTTAGCCAGTGACCCAGCGAATCCAACCCTCCCCGATGTGGGCAGCGCTGCAACGTCAAAGAGGGGCCCAAAAGTGGCAACGTTCGGCAACTCTCCAATGTACCCGTCAGTGAGTACCCGTTACAGTGCCGCTGAAGTCGGGGGCGGCCAAGAGAGGGGCGTCCAAGAGGGGGGGGCGCAAACCATGGCCAGCGGCATGTGCGCGGCCCAGGGGGGGCCAGGGACATCATGAAATAAGAAGAGGCGCCACAAAACCTGGGGAAGCATCATGGCCCAAGCCATGATGTCCCTCCCCCCCTTTAGTCATCACCCCCCTCTTTGCCGCCCCCGAAGACGGGGGAGCTCTGGCGAGACACCTCCGACATCGGCCGCGCGTTCTGGTGCGGCCCGCCGCTCTCCGTCGACCAGGACAGCACCAGTCCCCGCCGCGCGTGCCGCCGGAGGTTGCCCAGGAAGGCCTCCTCCGAGGGGAAGGGCTGCAGCCCTTCCTCCTCTTCCTGCATCCTGCGTCTGTCCTCCTCCTCCTCCTCCTCCTTTTCCTGGGCCTCCTCCTCCCTCCTCCCTCCTCCTCCTCCTCCTCCGCCTCCTCATCATTATCCTCCTCCTCCTCCTCCTCCTCCTCCTCCTCCTCCTCCTCCTCATCTCATCATCTCCCCCCTTCCTGCTCGTATATCTGCCCCTCTTCCTCCACTTCTCACCTCCTCCTCCTCCTCCTCCTCCTCCTCCTCCTCATCATCATCATCATCATCATAGTCAGCATCAGCATCAGCATCATCATCAGCATCAGCAGCAGCATCAGCATCAGCTTCATCATCATCATCATCATCAGCAGCATCCTCATCCTCCTCCTCCTCCTCCTCCTCCTCCTCCTCATCATCATCATCATCAGTATCATCATCATTATCTCCCCTCCTCCTGCTCGTTTACCTGCACTTATTCCTCCACCTCACACCTCATCCTCCTCCTCGTCCCTCCTCGTTTTCGTCTTCCTCCTCCTTCTCCTCATAGACAACATCACCATGACCATGACTAGCATCACCATAATTCAGAATAAATCATCATCACCATCATCGTCATCATCGTCGTCATTTTCGTCATGATCACCATGATCACCGTGACCAACATCATCATCGCCATTATCGCCACGGCCGTGACCCTTACCATGACCATGACCATCATCACCATCACCACCATCATCACCATCACCGTCATCACCATCAGCATCATCATCAGCATCGGCATCGGCAGCATCATCATCGTCATCATCGTCATCATCGCCATCAGCACCACCATCAGCATCATCATCAGCACCACCCACCATCATCACCACCATCTTCATCATCATCACCACCACCATCATCACCATCATCATCGTCATTATTATCAGCATCCTCATCCTCATCCTCATCCTCATCATCATCATCATCGCCATCATCACCAGTACCACCATCATCATCACCACTTGCACAATCACCATACCACTCACCCGCACCATCACCATCACCAGCACCATCATCATCATCCTCATAATCGTCAACATCAACATCATCGTCATCGTCGTCGGCATCGTCATCACCATCACAATCGTCACAATCAACATCATCTTCGGCATCGTCATCATATTCAGCATTGCCGTCGTCACGTAATCACCATCATTCACATCCGCATCATCATCTTCACCACCGTCGCCATCACCATCACCACCACCATCGTCATCACCACCACCACCACCACCATCACCATCACCATCACCATCATCATCATCATCATCATCATCATCATCATCATCATCATCATCATCATCACCATCGCCATCATCGTCACCATCACCATAACCATCGCCAGCGTCATCGCCCTCGTCATCATTATCGACATCGTCGCGAACATCATCACCATCATCACATCACTACCATCTCCATCATCCCCAATCTTCCCCCTCCCCTTTCTCCTCCTCCTCCTCCTCCTCATTCTTATTATTATTATTATTATCCTGCTTCTCCTCGCCCTCCGCCCTTCCAATACCTTCCTCCTCTTCCTCCGCCTCCGCCTCCTAGTCCTCCTTCTCCTCCTCTGCTACCTCCTATTCCTCCCCTCCTTCGGGAAGACTTTGTTTTGCTGCAAAGTTTCGGACGGTGGTGTTCAGCTCCTCCTCCTCCTCCTCCTCCTCCTCCTCCTCCTCCTCCTCCTCCTCAGAATCAAAATCTTCGCCGATGCTCGCCAACTGAGGCCAAGCCCAGCGAGTGCGAGCATGCACTCGCACGGGATGGCGCATGCTTGCACGCGTCACTGTGGAACAGTGTGGGCATTGGTCAGGGGTAGGGGTGGCCAAACGAGAGCTTGAGAGACGGTACAAGTCAGAATGAAGGGGGGGGCGAACGGTCCTACACCGTGTGCGTGGTGAAGTGGACCCCCGCGGTGCGGATTACGGCTGCTATTTCCCGATCAGTGCTCCCCTTTCTGGGTCACTACCTGTGCCTATCTGCCACCGCGCCTTCAGCGCTTGGTGTGTCTGTGTGCCAGGCCCCAAGGATTCCGAAGCAGTGGTAAGGCCCACCCACGACGCATCGTGCGCATGCCCCTCTGGCTATCCAAGCAAGAGGTTGCCTCGCACACACGAGCAGGAATAGCCACGGCCAGTGGAAATTCCCCCCAGAGCGCCCCGCCCCCCCCCCTCCCCTCCGCGCTCCAGGCGCCACCCCCTGGCGCCCGCCCGAGCGTGAGTGGCGGAATCGCGCGGCAGCGCGACTGGTAAGCGAACTGTTTTTTTATCGGCGCTTCGACATTGGGCGGAAGGGGGGGGGAGTGGGGGGGAGTCTCGCCCTGGGCCTCTGCTAAGTGCGACTGTTTGGGGTTTGGGACCGTGAGTCCTATTGGGGAGGCTCCACCTGCTCGAAACAGGCGCCAAAAAACAGCCAAGATCTACACGTCGTTCATTTCTAATCGTGCTCATTTCCAAGTGCGCTCGTTTCTGATTGTTCCTGGCCGCCCAGTGGCCAGGAGGAGGCCCAGGCTAGATGAATTAGAAAGGAAAGGATCTTGCCCCCCCCCAAAAATCAGAGAACCCTCGAACACTTCGGAATGAACCATGTGTACCCCATGGGAGGGGGGGAAGGAGGGGGTGCGAGCGCCCGCGCTGATCGGCAAAACAATGAATAACCCTCCTCCCTCCTCCCTCCTCCCTCCTCCCTCCTCCCTCTCCTCTTCCTTCTCCTCCTCCTCCTCCCTCCTCCTCCTCCTCCTCCTCCTCCTCCTCCTCCTCCTCCTCCTCCTCCTCCTCCTCCTCCTCCAGCGCGGCGAGGCTTCGCCCAAGCGAACGGCCTCGGGGGCCTGGGCGCCTCGTGGGCGCCCACCGTGCGCTGACGCCGGGCGCGGCGAGGGTTGTTCGCCCGGGTAGGCGGCCGCGGGCGCGGAGGGGGAGGGAGGAGGGGGGAGGGAGGAGAGAGGAGGGAGGAGGGAGGAGGGAGGGAGGAGGGAGGGAAGGAGGGAGAGGAGGGAGCTCGCTCGCGGCCCGCCCCAGGCCAAGCTCATCCGGAATCGGCTCGGGGCACCGGCTCGAATCGAAATCGGAGCGCGCGTCCGTCAGGTCGGGCTGCGTCGGCAGGGAGCCGCAGTCGAGTCGGGTCGGCTGCCCCGGGGCGCACGGCAGCGCCATGCGAAAAGCGGGCCACGTCGGATCGGCAGAGTGGCGGAGTCGGGTCGCACCGAGCTGGCCCAGGTCGACGCCGAGTCGGCTCGATGAGATCGACGTGGGCCCTGCCCCAAGCTGTTCGCCGCTCTCCTGGGACTCGGCTGGGATGTGCTCCGCCATCTCGAGGCAGAGCACCTCGCAAATCACTCCCCCGGCCTCCGCATCTTCCGCCCGTTCCGTTTCGCATTCCCATGCTCCTCCAAGTGATCCCCTTCCTCTTTCTCATCCTCTTCCTGTCCTCCTCATCGTCTTCTCCGTGCCCTCCTCATGAGCCCCTCCCCTCTCCCAGAGAGGCGCGGGGCGAGCCAGAAGCGGAATCATCGGACCACATCCCCCTCCATCTCAATATTACCTTCTCCCTCCTCCTCCCCTCACCCTCCTCCCTCTTTCCTCCTCCCCTTCCTCCTCCATCCATCCCTCCTCTCCCGATCCGTACTCCGTATCATCATCCCCCATCACTGTCGTCACCAAAGGAAATAGCACAATTTGATGATCCACCAAAAATCCGCCGACACTGTCGGCGTGTGGAATACGCGGTTCGCCGTCGTCAAGACGCTGTTAGTCGTGAGCCTCGTCATCGACGTCACCGCTCCCGCGTCGAGAGCCTCGTCGTTGACGTTACGGCTCCCACATCGAGGTCGCCGCTCTCGCTTGAATTCCCTGAGCCCGTCGACGAACAGACCAACGCCTCATTGCGCCAAAGGGGAGCCTCTTCCCTTTGATCCCTTCCCCGGGGCGGGGGGGGGTGGTCCGCGTGCGGTGCCGGGGGGGGGGGTCACGGGGACGGGGGGGTCCCGGGTCAGAGTGCCATCCCCCCTGGCGGTCCGGGGGCCCAGGAAAGCTCCAAGACGGCCGGCCAAGAGGTCCCCAGGACGGTCCAAGAAGGACATGAATTGCCGAACTATCGGTCCAAGACGCCAAAATAGCCTCCAGACGGCCCACAAGGTTTCCAAAACTGGCCCCAAGACGGCCCACGAGGCCCCCAAGCCGCCCCAAGAGCGTCTCAAGCGGCGTCCCAAGAGGGCCCCAAGAGGCCACAATCATTGATTTTCGCTGGGTGTTGGAATGATTGTTGCGTTTCTGCTTTGGGGCTTTCCGGCGCTCCAAGACGGCCCAAGAGGCCCCCAAGATCGCACCAAGACGGCCCAAGAGGGCCCCAAGACGGACCACGAGGGCCCCAAGACTCTCCCAAGACAGCCCAAGAGCCACCCACGACGGCCTAAGAGGGCCCCAAGACGGCCCCACGAGGGGCCCCAGAGAGGGACCGCGAATGGACAATTCGAGCCTTCCGCCCCAAGAGGCCCCCAGGAGGCCCCAAGAGGGGCCCACAAGAGGCCCCAAGAATGCCCCCAAGAGAAATCAAAGAGGCCCCAAGAGGCAACCAAGATGCCCAACAGAGGCCCCCAGAGGCCCCCAGGATCCCCCCAGCAGGCCCCCAAGACGTCCCCAAGAGGCCCCCAAACTACCCCCGTCGGCGTTGTGCCCGTCGTCGCCGTCGCCGTCGTCCTCGTCGTTGGCGTCGTCGTCGTCGTCGTCGTCCTCGTCGTCGTCGTCGTCGTCCTCGTCGTCGTCGTCGTCCTCGTCGTCGTCGTCGTCGTCGTCCTCGTCTGCAGGGTCGGCGGCACCGGCGGTAAGGCCTTCACAACACGTATCATCCAAACTGTTGACGATTACAATGGGTTGTGTCATCATGCTCCCCATCACCGTCGTCATCAGCAGCATCATCGCCATAACCGTCATCATCATCATCATCACCATCATCATCATCATCACCACCATCATCATCATCAACAACAGCATGATCCTCATCAACATCATCAGCTATGCCACCATCATAATCCCCGTACTCCGCCTCTTCTTCAACAACACCATTGTCATCAACATCAACACCATCATCAGCATCAGCATCAGGAACAATAGCATCATTGTCATCATCGTCATTGCCATCAGCATCACCATCATCAACATCATGCTCATCATCATCACTTCATCACCACAATCATCACCGTCATCATCACCATCAGCATCACCATCACAATCACCATCACAATCACCATCACCAACATCATCCACATTACCAGATGCATCAACATCATCATCATCATCACCACCACCATCATCATCATCAGCACCATCATCAGCATCATCATCATCTTCAGCATCGTCATCTGGTAAGCTCAGGGCCCCGAGGGCCCAACGGTCTCTTCACGATGCTCGCCTCTCTGAGGCCCTATGCGGAGCTACATGGGCCAACTGTTGACTGCGACAGCTTTCTGAGAGCCATCTGCCGTCGACCACGCTGGCCCCCCCCCCCTGGCGGGGTGGACCCACTCATGGAAGAGAATGGTACCCTTCGGCTTGGGACACCAGTATCCCGATGGGTGTATGTGTATTTGTATGTGTACGTATGCTTTGCAGGTGTATGTATATTCATGTGCACTCCTGGCCGACTCTAGAAGTCCTGAATCAACACGCATTGACGTCTCAAGGTCACTTCCGCTGTCTTCGACTGGCGGGCCCGCTACCGTTCTACCTCCACGGGCTTCCGCCAACATTCCGCCGGCTTCCGCCAGCTTCCGCCAGCCTCTCGCCAGCTTCCGCCGATGGCGAGGGCGCGCCGGGGGCGAGGCCCTGTCTGAAGCGCCACTTGAATTACCTGTGCACATACGAATGCATCTGTAAACGTGTATACATGCGAATGTACACACAGAGATGTGCAACTATAGTTACAACCGCACGAATATATGTACATATAAGTGTGTATATATATATATGTATGTATGTATGCATGTGTATATGTGTGTACACCTGTACATGTTTAGGCGGGAGTGCATTCTCGACGTCGACGTCGCGCGCAGCAGCGAGGGCGGGACACGGGAGGGCTTGGGCACCCCCCGCGGAGCCCCAGGTCAGGCCGAGCTCGGGCGCGCTCCCCCGAGCGCCCCTCCCCTATACAGACGCGCATGTGCACAATAACAGATGTGTATACATACCTATATATATATATATATATGTATGCATGCATATGTGCGTGTATACAATTATAAACAGATGCAATCACACACATATGTATACACATTTAATGAGGGGTGTATACTGCGATACAGTGTCATGTGCAGAATTCTATGCACATGAGTGTGTTGCATAGCCCCCCCCATCCTGATTCCCTATTTCTTTACCTCCTCCTCCCCCCTCCCCCATCAGTGAGCACGCGTTGACTGCAGGGGCACCATTCACCACCACTACCTTCTCCCCCTGTTTGCCCTCACCAAGCCAAGCTGGGGCCCCCGCCCAGTCGAAGAGCCGCCCCAGGTGCACGGGCTGGTCAAGCCGCAACGTCTGCACGACCCCTCCTGGCCGCCGTGGCGGAAGGGGAGGAGGGAGGAGGAGGGGGAAGGAATCGGTCGGCGAGAAATGCCCTGGCACGTTCTCGTCACTTCATCCCCCAGTCCGCAGCGGCAGTCATGGACGCAGGTGTATCTAGACCCGGGCGCGCATCGCGCGCTTAGGTCCTAGCAAGCTCCAAGCATTGACAAATCAACAACTGCGTGTAGATGCGTACGCACACTTGCAACGTCAGGACTTACCCACACAGTGCTTGAACATGGGGCGACAACATAATAAGAACTGCTGGTAGTAGCCGTAGTAGTAGTAATAGCAGGAGTAGTAGTAGTAGTAGTAGTAGTAGTAGTAGTAGTAGTAGTAGTAATAAAAGTAAAGGTGAAAGTAGTGGTAGTAGTAGTAGTAGTAGTAGTAGTAGTAGTAGTAGTAGTAGTAGTAGTAGTAGTAGTGGTGGTGGTGGTAGTACTAATAGTAGTAGTAGTGGTGGTGGTAGTAGTAGTAGTAGAAGTAGTAGTAGTAGTAGTAGTAGTAGTAAGAGTAGTAGTAATAGTGGTAGTAGTAGTAGTAGTAGTAGTAGTAGTAGTAGTAGTAGTCGTAGTAGTAGTAGTAGTAGTAGTAGTAGTAGTAGTAGTGGTAGCAGTAGCAGTAGTAGTAGTAGTAGTAATAATAGTAGTAGTAGTATTAGTAGTTGTAGTCTTAGTAATAGTAGCCGGAGTCGTAGTAGTGGTTGTAGAAGTAGTAGTAGTAGTCGTAATAGTAGTAGTAGTAGTAGTAGTAGTAGTAGTAGTAGTAGTAGTCGTAGTTATAATAAAAAAGGTCGTAGTAGTGACATTGTAGTCGTAGTCGTCGTAGTAACAGTAGTAGTAGTAGTAGTAGTAGTAGTAGTAGTAGTAGTAGTAGTAGTAGTAGTAGTAGTAGTAGTACGAGTAGTAGCAGCAGTAGTAGTAGTAGTAGTAGTAGTAGTAGTAGTAATCGTAGTGGTAGTAGCCGCAATCGTAATAGTAACGGCACTCGTAGTACTGGTAGTAGTAGCAGTAGTAGTAGTAATAGTAGTAGAAGTGGTAGTAGTGACAGGTGCAGTAGTAGCTGTAGCAGTCGTAACCGTGGTCGTAGCAGAAGTAGTAGTAGTGGTAGCAGTAGTAGTAGTAGTAGTAGTAGTAGTAGTAGTAGTAGTAGTAGTAGTAGTAGTAGCAGTCGTAGTAGTAGTAGTAGTAGTAGTAGCAGCAGAAGTAGCATTAGAAGTCGTAGTAGTAGCAGTGGTAGTAGCGATACTAGTAGTAGTAGTAGTAGTAGTAGTAGTAGTAGTAGTAGTAGTAGTAGTAGTAGTAGTAGTAGTAGTAGTAGTACTAGTAGGAGTAGTAGTACTAATACTCTAGGTAGTCGTAGTATTAGCGGTAGTAGTAGTGGTGATAGTAATAGTAGCAAACGTAATCGTAATAGAAAAAAAAATAGCACCAGTAGTGGGACAAATCGCAATCGTATCCGTAGTCCAAGTAGCAATAGTAGTAGTAGTAGTAGCAGTAGCAGTAGTAGTAATAGTAGTAGTAGTAGTAGTAGTAGTCGAAGTGGTATTACTAGCAGTAGTAGCAGCAGTGGTAATAGTAGTCGTACTGCTACTGCGTGTGCTAGTCCTTGTAGCAGCAACAGTAGCGGTAAGAAACAAGTCGTAGCAACAATAACAATTGCAAACGTAATAGTAGTGGTGGTAGTCGTAGTAATAGCAGTCGCATTCGTTAGTCGTGAAAAAATCAGCACTAATCGTAGTCGTAATGATCTGAATAGTTAAAGTACTCGTACCACGACTACACCTACTACTACGACTACAACCACGACTTCTCCTACGTCGACGGCGACTACTACTACGAGCCCTACTACTACTACTACTACTACTACTACTACGACTACTACTACTACTACTACTACTACTACATCTACTACTACTACTACTACGACTACTACTACTACTACTACTGCTACTACTACTACTACTACTACTACTGGTACTACTACGGCGACTACTACTACTACCACTACTACGAGTACTACGACTACTACTACGACTACTACTACTACTACTACGACTGGTACTACGGCTTCTACTACGACAACCTCCACTACTTGTAGTACTAGTCTAACTGCAATTACGACTGCTATTACAACTAGAACTACTGCTACTACAAAGACGACCACTGCTACTACTGCTACTACTGCTACCAGTCCTAGTACTACCACTACTACTACTACTACTACTACTTCTACTACTACTACTACTACTACTTCTACTTCTTACTACTACTACAGCCATGATTGCTGCTGCTACTTCTACTACGACTAGAACAACCACTACGACGGCATCTCATGCTACTTCTGCTTATACTACGACTGCTACCAGTACTACTACTACTACTACTACTACCTCCACCACCACCACCACCACCACCACCACCACCACCGCTACTACTACTACTACTACTACTACTACTACTGCTGCTGCTGCTACTACTACTACTACTACTGCTGCTGCTGCTGCTGCTGCTACTACTACTACTACTACTACTACTGCTACTGCTACTACGACTACTACTACTACTACTACTACTACTACTACTACTACTACTACTACTACTACTACTACTACTACTACTACTACTACTACTACTACTACTCTACTACTACTACTACTACTACTACTACTACTGCTGCTACTACTACCACTACTACTACTACTACTACTACTACTACTACTAAAACTACTACGACTACTACTACTACTACTACTACTACTACTACTACTACTACTAATAATACTACTACTACGACGACGACTACTACTACTACTACTACTACTACTCCTGCTACTGCTACTACTACTAGTACTACTACTACTACTACTACTACTACTACTACTACTACTACTACTACTCCTACTACATCTGTGGGAAGTGCTGCCACGAGTTCTACCTGCAAAATGCCAGTATTACCACTGATACTGATACTTATCTTGCTTCCAGCGCTACTGCTGCATCTGCTACGGCAACTACCTTCCTTCATCCGTTCGCTTTCTCATCGTCTCCTGCCCCTCCCCATCCTTCTCGTCATTGTCATGGTCATCCGCGTCCCACTTCTCTTCGACCTCCTCCTCTTTCTCTTCTGTGTCAACGTCTCGTCGTCTCCAGTGTACTCCGGCGCGTGCACCGAGCCGTCATAGGGCACGCAGCAATACTCGCCCGTCCTGCCCGGCGCGGGGGGGTGTCACGACGCAAAGTTGGCGTGCCCCCTCCAAAAGGCACGAGGAAACGCGGGGACAAGGGCGGCCTGGTGTTCCTGCCTCCTTCTCCACTTCCTCCATCCCTCTATCTCCTCCTGCTCCTCCCTCCTCCATCCTTCCTCCTGCGTCCCTCGCTATCCGCCTGCTCGTCCTCCCCATACCTTCTACTGGGAGATACTGAGAACCACGCGCCGTCTGCGCGCGCTCAGACAGATTCTGGTACGTTTCAGCTCTGTCCTACAAGCGTAGGTGTATCCATCCGTACATCCGCCCGCCCATACACCAACCCAATCTTACAACCGTCCATTCACCGAATCCCCCAATCATCAACCCGTGAATGCATTCAGACAGCACGAAAGACACAGTGACCTGACATCAATCGATCCATCCATGCGTCCTCTTGTCGAGGGCTTGCTACCGCCATCCGTGGGTATGGTCGTTGTTCGCTACGCCGGCGAAGCCGCTCCACCGACATTGCGGCCGACGCCTGGCAATGTGAGACTGCTTCGGCCAAGACGGGCCACTCTACGACTGGCATACTAATCAGGCCAGAGGACTCTTCGGCACGGATGCCAGGCGGCCACGGCGTAACAGAAGAACTGGTAACACGAGCGCACATAAGAGAACTAAAAGTGGCATAAACATAGTTCCCCCAGTGCGACCCTACCTAGGAGTTGGAGCCCCTAGGAAAGCAGCATTAGCAGTAACGGTAAACGCCGTCCTCCTCCTTCTCCTCATCTTCGTAATTGCCTTTGCTTTTGCTTGTTTTTGCTGTTGCTTGGTTTTGCTTTTGCTTTGCCTTCGCACACACACACGCATGTTTTTGCATTCGCTCACCGGGTGGGCTCTCCGATCGTACTGTCGCACATTGTGTTTGATTTGCCTTTCCTTTGCTTTTGCTTTGCTTTGCTTTGCTTTGCTTTGCGTTGCTTGTGCTTTGCTTTGCTGTTGCTGCTGTTGCTTTGCCTTTGCTTTGCTGCTGTGCTATGCTATGCTATGCTATGCTATGCTATGCTATGCTATGCTATGCTATGCTGCTCGATGCTATGTTATGCTATGCTATGCTGCGCTATGCTGCGCTATGCTATGCTACGCTAGGCTGCGCTATGTTATGCTAGGATATGGTATGCTATGCTATGCTGCGCTATGCTATGCTATGCTGTGCTATGCTGCGCTATGCTATGCTATGCTATGCTGCGCTATACTAGGCTATGATGATGTGCTAAGCTATGATATGCTAAGCTACAGCGACGCGAAGCTAAGATGAAGCTAAGCTAAGCTTAGCTAAGCTAAAATAAGCTAAGATGAGACACGCACAGCTAAGGTAAGGGAGCGCAGCTGGGGGAACCGCGGGGCGGAGACCGGGGGAACCGCCCGGGGCGGAGCCCACTGACCGGCCCCTTTAAGCCCAGCGAGTAAGAACCCTCTAGGCATAGCCTAGGTAGGGAAAAACTCGGAGGTCCGCGCGGATGTCTCGGATCGGCGCTGGACCCCCCTCCCTGGCGCGCGGAGCGCGCCAGGGGCGGCGCCGGAGGCGCCGCCGGGGGGCCCCAGCGCCGATCCGAGAAATCCGCGCGGACCTCCGAGTTTTTATGTTTATGCCACTTTTTGTTCCCCTAGCACAAAGGCGAGTCCAGGGCTCCCAACTTCGCGCTTCGCGCTCCGCGAAGCGCGAAGCGCGAATAACTTCGCGCCCTCGCGCCGCCCCCCCAAAGGGAGAAAAGGAGGACGAGGAGGAGGGGGGAGAAGGAACGAGGACCGCGAAGCGCGAAGCGCGAATAACTTCGCGCCCTCGTGGGAGCCCTTGAGTCCAACGGGAAGAGATCCGCCCGCACGGCCACCCAGCCACGAGCGGACCACCGAGGAGATGGAGACCTCCACAAAGAAGCCTCCGGGCTTCGCCCTCCGAGGGGCAGCCCCCCCCCAACGGCGCAGGGGAGAAGCCTTTGTCGGGCGCAGGGGCGCCGAACAGGTGATCTCCAAATGGGAGCACCCCAGACCCCTGGCGCCCCTCCTCCTGCTCCTCCTCCTGCTCCTCCTCCTCTTCCTCCTCCTGCTCCTCGTGCAGACCGATGGGCCCCTTGATCCTCCTCCTCCTGCTCCTCCTCCTCCTCCTCCTCTTCCTCCTCCTCCTCAAGCGCTGCCGAGATGCGCGCTGGACGGGGAAGGCGGCCCCGCCGCACCCCAGACCCCTGGCGCTCTCTGGACGCCGATGCCTCGACAACTGTCGCACCCAAGCGCGCCCCCCAACTGCCCCCTCTGGGGCGGCAGAGCGCAGGAAGACCAGGGTGTAACATATTTTCTCTGGACTCGTTCCACGTCGCCCACCGTTCCCGAAACCGCGCCAGGCCGCAGCCATTCCTGCTCCGCGCGCCCCAGCTGAATTTCCGAACCTCAGCCCCGAGAACTCAAACACTTAGTTTGGCGATGTGCCCCTTCCCACAATGAGATGCTTTAGCGTTTGAGTCAACGGCGCACGCGCGCTTGCAAAAAAAGCGTACAGCCCGTCATAGTTTTCCCCTGGAGAGGGGTCGGGATAAGTGTTTCGCCGCGGAATCCAGCCACACGTGCATCTTTCCATCCACGGATCCCGCCTCCGACGTCCTCAACCAGACATAGAACATTGTGCAATGGTTATGCGGGGCTATATCATCGATGCACAGACCTCAGCCGCCAGACAACCACCTCTGGAGCAGCGTGAGGCATTCAGCTGCTCTCCGAGGCGGGCTGGCACTCGCTGGACGCTGTCCTGAACTTGATGGCTACTACCTCTTCTCGTTCCTTACCGCTGATGAGATACCAGCCACTTTTCAAACCAGGTCCCTCGCCAGAAAAGGCATGCCCACGCGGCGCTCATCCTTCAAGGGGGCGCTTCCCCCAGATAGAAGGGGCTCCTCGCATGGGACCTGCGAGCAGTGGGCTCGACATGCGAGGGTGTGCTGCAGCATCGCTGATGCGTGCTGGTTGAGATTGTTCTTGCCCTCTCCCCCCCGGCAGCGCGAGACTCGGTGTGGCCCGAGTCATCAGCCACATGCTCGCCGGCCGCCACGTGCGGCCCCGTCCGAAGACGCCCTCTCGTGCAGACCGGTGGGTCCCTTGATCCTCCTCCTCCTGCTCCTCCTCCTCCTCCTGCTCCTTCCCGTCCTCCTCCTGCTCCTCCTGCTCCTCCTCCTCCTCCTCCTCCTCGAGCCATGCCGAGATGCGCGCTGGACGGGGCAGGCGGCCCCGCCGCTCCTGTTGAAGAAGTCGCAGTAGTGCCCCGCGCCGGCGCCGAAGTCCACGACCGAGGTATGGCAGCCTGGTGGCCGCCCGCGCTCCGGCGGGGGAGGGGCTCGCGGAGCGGAGGGCTCTGGGCCGATCTTCGCTTGCGTTTGGCAGGGGGCCACATGCGAACCCTACCCCTGCCTCCCACCATTTCTCAGGGGGAGGGTGGGGTTCACTTCGCTCGGGAGCTCCCGCACGGAGTGGGGGGCAGGGGTAGGGTTCGCATGTGGCCCCCTAGTTTGGGCCCTCCGAGGGGTCTTCTGGTCGCCACGGCTGCCCGAGGTCTGGCCTTCTGCCGTGCTCTCCGTCGCGGGGGGCCCCGGCATCCGCCGATCTGATGTTACACGCGGTCCCCCAGTGGTCCCGACTCCTGTCCTGGGGCAAAGTATTCGCCCAGCCTCCGTTTTTGGAACTCGGGGCCCCCGAGGCCGAAATCGGGGTAAAACGCCCCGATGGAAGGCATCGCATCGTCGGAGATCTGGAGTGTCCCCGTTTCCCGGGCTTCTCCTGGGTTGCGTTCGGACGGGGATTCCGAAGCGAATCGAGGGCCTCCCAGGAGGCCCGCAGAGGCGAAAGCGAGGGAAGGGTTGCGGTACTGATGGACATCGTTGGATGTCCACCACCGTTCCCCCTGGCATATTGAGGCGTGGTTGACTGTTCAGTTCGTCAAGAACTACGAGAGCAAGGTCTATACTGAAAAGTGGCCGCAAAGCAAATCCAGCGTCCTCTGATCGGAAGGATCGGAGGCGTCCGAGAGGGGGTCGTCCAAGAGGGGGTCTGCAAATCGTGAGCCGAGGCAGTTGCGCGGCCAGGGGGGTGCAGGGATTGGAGCTGAGGAGGGGCGCCGTGAAACCTGGGGAGCTCTCGTGGCCCTGGCCATGCAACCCCCCCCCCCTGGCCATCACCCCCCTCTGTCGGCTACACGCAGGAGTGACCCTGGGCAAGAGTGGCCTTTGGCGCGCGGCATTTTGGGGGGCCACGGGGGGGGCCAAAGCCGAGCGCGCCAGGCGCAACTGCCGCCTCGCGGTCGGCGATCGGGGGACCCCATTAGGCCCGCACCAAAGGGTACTCCGGCGAAGGGTCACCCCTACAGTCGGGGCGCTGACCTAAGGAACTCTACATCGGGAGCGAGGCCCCTTTTCCCCAAAAGTTGAACTTCGATTTCCCACGCAACCTGAGGCAAACTGCACAACAATTCAGGAACACCGAGTTTCTCCCCAATGAAAAGGGTTTCTTCTTCAACGCCCCGATTGCACGTGTTGTCGACCTCTTGGCCGCTCCCGGAAGGAGCGCAGGGCGGCGCTCCAGCCGGGCCCCGTGGCGTGGGCGCCCGCCTTCGCCGGGCGCGCCCGCGGGCGGCGCCCAGAGCCGCACCAGGCCGGCGACGAGGCCGCGGTCCAGGTGCCAGCCGTTCCCGAACTGGCGGTGCAGGAAGTTCATCTGGAGGGTGCGAGAGTCACTGGCAGCGCGCACAATACATATGTATGTATGTATGTATGTATGTATGTATGTATGTATGTATGTATGCATGTATGTATGTATGTATGGATGGATGTCTGTATGTATGTATGTATGTATGTATATATATAGAGATGCGTGTATAATTTTGTTTATGTATGTGTATATACATACATATATACATATTAGGGGGAGGGGGGAGGCTTCTCATGAGGTCGCTCCTCAGAGGGCGCTGGCCCTTCATCCAGGGACAAGGGCTGCGCCTTCTAAGAAGCAGGGGTGCGTCTGAGAAGCCATCCGCCTTCCCATACCCACCCCGTCTGCGCGTGGCCGATCAATTAGAGGGTTCGAGGATCATGATGAGAAAGCATCACGCGCTCAAGCCGATATGGAGAACGGAAAGGCTACCCTCATCTGAAGCACCTCGAGGAGCGAAGCCGTTCAGTGAACGCAGCCCAGTGACGAATCGGAAATGGCAGGGCAGTGCACGCCCAGTGCCGTTTAGCAAACGCAGATGATGGATGTCGGGGTGTGTTTTATCCTCCCTTGCCGATGGGGAAGAGGAGGAGGGCAACGCGATGAAGGCGCGCGGAGCATAGGTGCGAGCTGTCGAGCCCCGAGTGGGGCTCCCTTTCGAGCGGGACCCCCTCATCCGGCAACACACACCCCAGATCCCCTTCGAAATTCGTTCCCGAGAGAACCTAGGCGTCGCATGGGTATGGATCCGAATTGTCAACTCACGGAATCAAAGATCAAGGCTCGAGGTTCGAAATTTTGGGGAGGAACGGTTACCGATACTTACCGCTGTTCCTCCTGGAGGGCCGTCGTCGCCAGTCAAATGCACCCTGTTAGAGGTCTGAGGAATAGCGAAGCCCTCCTCCTCCGGGAGAAGCATCCTCTGGGGAGAGGACCCGAGGAGAAGTTGTGGGAAATCGTGCGAGATCGGGTTCGAGGTTCTACAGTTCTCGGCGGTTCTTCAGCTTCAGGGTATGTTCCAGCAGCCGCGTCTCGCAGAGAGCGTCCTGTGGGTGCCTGGACAGTCCCGAACGGCCGTCGGGGACCTGAGTTATGGCCCAGAAGCCAAACGACGAGGACCACTCGGGTCTGACGAAGGGGAGGAGGAGGTCTCCGACAATCAGGTTTTTACCAACCATCCTGTGGTGTTGGGTCCTCGTTTTGAAAAGACAGTCCCCGCGTCTCCTCCTCCTCCTCCTCCTCCTCCTGCTCCTCTCCTATCCTCTCCTCCTCTCCCCCTCCTCCCACTCCTCCCTCCTCCCGGCACCCCCCTCACTTTGGCGCAGCCCTCACACGCTTTCTGGCCGTGGCCCCATGGGGAGCTTCACCGAGAGTGGCACGGCTCGCATGCCGCCCCCCCATCCTCTTTTGCACACCCCTCACACGCTTCGTGGCGCCATAGCGAAGCCCACCGAAGGCCCCAGTGGCATGGTTCGCATGCCGCCCCCCCGTCCACTTTGGCACACCCCTCACACGTTGCGAGGCTGCATGCGGAGCTCCACCGAAGGCCTCAGTCACACGGTTTGCATGCCGCCCCCCTCCACTTTGGCGCACCTCTCACACGTTTCGTGGCCCTATGAGGAGATCCACCGAAGGCCCCAGTGGCATGGTTCGCATGCCGCCCCCCCATCCTCCTTTGCACACCTCTCACACGCTTCGTGGCGCTACAGGGAGCCACACCGAAGGCCCCACTGGCATGGTTCGCATGCCTCCCCCCTCCTCTTTTGCACACCCCTCACACGTTCCGTGGCGCTATAGGGAACCCCGCCGAAGGCCCCAGTGGCATGGTTCGCATGCCGCCCTCCCCTCCTCTTTTGCACGCCCCTCGCACGCTTCGTGGCCCCACAGGCAGCTCCACCGAAGGCCCCACTGGCATGGATCGTATGCTGGCCCCCGTCCATTGTGGCACACCCCTCACACGTCTCGTGGCAACGCAGGGAGCTCCACCGAAGGTCCAAGCGGCAAGAACTGCATGCCGCCCCCCTCCCCTTTGGCACACCATCCGTACGTTTCGTGGCCCCATATGCTCCCCCGAAGGCCCCCGCGGCAGCGTCCGCATGGCGGCCCGGCCCCACTGCGGCGCACCATTCGCGCGCTTCGTGCCCATAGGGGGCTCCACTGAAGGCAGCGGCGGCATTCACAACTTCATCTGGTTGGGTCCTTTGCCAGGGTACTTCAATCTGGGCGTGCTTCCTCCAGGGTGAGGAGGAGAAGGGAGGCGGGAGGAGGAGCAGGGAGGAGGGATGAAGGGATGGGGGAGGGGGAGGAGGGTGAAGAGCAGGAGAAAGGGGGAGGGAGGGAGGGAGAGAGAGATGGAGGCGGGGAGGAGGAAGAGGAGGAGGAGGAGGAGGAGGGAGGAGGGAGGAGTGGAATGCGATGCGAAATTCCTGAGTGGCTAAGTGGAAGGCTTCGCATGATAGGCCGCCTGATCCTTAGGCGGCTTCCCTTCGATAGAGTTATCGAAGTACCTGCGCCTGACAATGCCGAGATTCGCAGAACATTCATACGCGAGGTTCTCCCTGAGCTGCTCGGCTCCGTAGAAGCCACAAGCAGAACACATCCGCGATCGGGAGAGTGCCAAATGAGAGCGGTGGATGCAAGCTCCCCTCGGCAGTCGAGGGGAGGAGGAGGGGGAGGAGGGACGGGAGGAGGAGGGGGAGGAGGGAGGGAGGGAGGGAGGAGCAGCCATCGGCTGTGGCGCCAGGGGCAGGCCGCCGTGGGGGCCGAGCGCGACCGCCCGGCCTGCGAGAACGCCCCGCTCTCGTCGTGCCAGTCTGGCACGCCCACCTGGGCGCGGCCACGGGCGGAGAAAGGGAGGCGGGGATGGACAAAGGCGGAGGAGGAGGAGGAGGATTTTTTTTTTTGACATCCACGGCCTCAGACCCCAACTAAATGGGGCAAATAGTTTCGCAGTCAGCTCTGGCCCCTTTCCTCTTGTGGTCAGGGTGGAGCCCCTTGCTGAGCCGCGAAAAAACCTCGCTGCGGACTGGAGGGTGGCCGACGCATGTCTTAGACAGGCGTCGAAGCTGGCCTCCAGTGCTGAAAGCGTGACAGGCGCGACAAACACAGGCAAAACTGTGGTCGTCGAAGTCAATCACAATGCAGCTGTGTCCGAGAGCTCGCAACTCGAAAGGATCGATACGGAGCTGGCGGGTGCACACTCCTGGAGCGGGCTTCGACCGCTTGCGGGAACAACGCAAACAGTTCGGACATTGCCAAAATCGGCCGACCCATGCCCACTCGTGTGACGGGCTGGCAGGCTTGGGAACCCTCGGCGGGACTTCCGCACGAGGAACGCCTTCGAGGTTGGTCTTGGGCCAGCGCCCGAGCAATCTTGCAGCTAATTTGAAGACGGCCTTTGCCGTGCGGATCGCGTGGTTGAGATTCACACGATCGTCCGCATTCAAGTATTCGTGCAAAGGCGCACCAGCTTTTGCCGCCACGTCGGCAGCATTATTACCAAAGATGTGTCGGCGCTCCAGATCCGAAAGGTCAGGGTCGTCCGCTCTGTGGGCCTTGACCTTCTGGACTGAGCGCAACATGTGACTCGCGAACGCGTAACTCTGCATAACTAAACCACTGTAGGGCCGATTCGGCGACAGACGCTCGGCAAAAGGCTTGCTGTATTCTCCAACGACAGCTGCACAATCGCTGAAAATGTCAGCAGCACTGGTGAGAAGGCTGGCGGCACTAGTTGGCGCTGCGAACTCCGCAGCAACCGACGTCTGAGGGAAAAAACTGCCCAGGGCACCATACATTTGAGCAAGGATCTTACCCGAAGGACCAAGACTCACAACTCCCCACCCCGAGCGGGAAAGATCCTTGATCGCCGAACGCATACACGAGCCGTCCGTGTAGAGGTCCCCTCCTAAAGTCCTCACCCCCTCGGAAGGAACTGGTAGCCCCTCAGCCAGGTACGCTTCAGGGAAGACCTGGAAAACGACGCTGTCCAGGGCTTGTTCCTGGGACAGGGGGCCTGGAGCCCACAGAGACGGGCGCGGGAAAAGGCCCGTCTCGCAGACCAACTTGAAGCTCGGACTGGGGTTGGTCAAGAGCTCCGAACGAACCTGGGCGAGAAGCCGCTCACCAACAATCTCAACCCGATCTTCCTCGCATTCGGGACAGAACCAAAGCCTATGCAGAATCGTGTCTCCTGTCTGGCCGCACAGAAAGCACTCGTCCTCAACGCAGTAGCCGAGGGCGGCAGCACGGCTGAGCGGCCACACAGCCTGACAGTTCAAAGCTTTGATGACACCTTTATCTTTACGGGAAAACTTGGAGGAAGCCAGGGCCGCATCAGCCAAGTCAAAACAGAGGCGGGCCCCGTCGAGGTACCTGTTTCCAGCCTCGGTTTCTAAATCCCGTAAAACAGCGCTCTTTAAACATCTCTTCAAAAGGGCAGGGGAGGTGAGCAGGAGGGGAATCTGCACATCTCGGTCGTCCGTCATCGTGAAGGGGTCAGTCATGTCCCAGCCGAGCCGTTTCAGGGAGAGGTACATGGCCCCGATGGGGCCCTTGCAAGATCTCCAGGTTCGCGGGGGTCGGGCCCAGACCGCGGACCAAGCTTCTCGAATTTCTTGCCAACTGAGCGACCATGGGGCCCTCGTCTGCAGTAGCCACAACTCCTTGCAGTACCGAATGATGGGTGCAACAGATCCGTACCAGGCAGGGTCTTTTTTCCAGACGGGTGAGGGTCGTGAGCGGGCGTCCCCCACAATTCGGCTTCATGGTGGAAGCAGCCAACCTACGGATCTTGAGCACTTCACCCTCGGACATGCCGTGGACCTCAGCCCCGAACTGAGCGCCTGCAAGCGGCCCAGAGACAAACACCTTAGTAGCACGAGAGCCCAGCGTTCCACGCTGGCGGACTAAGCGGCGGGTCCTACGCACCGCAGCATTCATTCTGGTCTTCGCCTTAGCATTTCTCCCCCTCACCCTCCTGGAAGTCCCAGGAGTGAAGTCAATGCCGAGGTTAGGCGTAGTTTCCCTGTGAGGCCCCACGAGATCTCCAAAGAGTTGGGAGAGCCTGCTAGAGATGAGCTTAGAAGTCGAAACCATGGCAATCTTGTCCAAAGAAATCTGGGCACGCATCATGACAGTGATGGCGTGTTGCAGGGTGGTAGCTCCGTCCTGCAGGCTGGTGACTATCTGTTCGGCCGTGCCGACAGCGTTGAGGCCAGAATCGTCGATGTAGACGTCGAGGGTAGCGCTCGGTCCCAGGACCACAGAGTCGAAAGACTCGAGCCCGAAAACCCTGATCATCGTCGTAGCGATCGAGCAACCCGCGATCACACCATGATCGCCAAACACAGGGGGAGCCACGACCCCGCACAAAACCATAAAACGAGCCGGTCGGTATCCAGCCAGACAGACCGCCATCAGCACAGGAAGAAAATTAAGCCTCTGGTCGCGTAACTCCAACAGGGCCAAAGGGATCTGCTCGTAGTATTTCAGCATATCGTAAAAGATAGCACCCGCATGCTGGCCTGAAGTCGTGCTGCGCTCAGCCGAGACCGACTGGCGCCAGACCACGTCGGATGCCGACCTATGCTTCCCCGCGGCCCAGTAAGGCCTGTCGTTGGCTTCCTCCCAGGCCACAGCGTAGGGCCTCCTAATGCGACCCCAGATGCGAAAGGGGCTCGAAAAAAAAACACCGATGGGACGGAACCCAGGGACCGACTTCGGGATCATGGCCATGATCAAGGCCCGAAGTTGACGGGGAAGCATTCCTGCCGACTCGACGATCAAGAAAATCCTCCCTAGGCACTCCAGGGACGCGTCGGAGAGAAACTGATAGTGCCGAAGGTGAAAGCCGTCCAAGCCGACAGCCGAGCGCCTTGAGTATGAACGCGAGGCCGTGCGAAACTCATCCACTGTGATCTGCGGCAGTGGCTCGAGCTTGCAGCACCGAAGCCGTGGGGGGGTATCCACTGCCCTCCACAGCTTGCCAAATCTGTCACTCTCTTGCTTCCAGAGGGCCTGGGGATCGCTGACAAGGGCTCCAAACCGACTTAAGGTGGAGGTAGGCCTCCAAGCCGCGGGGTCCTTGGAGACCTGGTGAGCCCTACGGGCTCCCTGGTTGATCCCGTCCAGGAGCCAGGAGGCCCAATCGGACCTGGCGAGTTTGAAAAATTCCTCGGAACACTTATTGATGGCCTCTTGAAGCTGGGAATGAGCCTCGTCCAGGCAAGCCTTGCACTCGTCGGGGTCCACGCCCCACAAGCAGGCCAAAGAGGAAGCAGCGGTGTGCGCAGCGGCGTGGCTACCTTGGCGTTCCGCCACAAATGCAGGGGGGCGAAGCCAGGGCAGCCTGTACCTTAGCAAAATCCGAAGGATGCCTGTCGGGGCCCGACAGCACCAGACGATAAAATATCAAGAAGTTGGACCAAAGCCATCTCATGCTGTGCAGCACGGGGTAACGGACCGAGCCGTGGTCACGACCCAGAACGGGCCTCCACCACATCTCGACTCCTTTGCCCCGTGCTCCGAAGTATGGGATGGTTGCTCCCATCACGGTACACAGTTCTCTCTCGGCCGTGTTGGCCCACTGCTTGTAAGCAGAAGCAAGAAGAGAGTCCAACGCGTCTACTTCCCCCCTCTGGGCCCTAACTAGGGCCTTGTCCAAAAGGGCCGAGCATTTACCGTAACACGGGGGCTCGGGCGAAGGACCGATCGGGGGATCCACAGCGATCGGGGGGGGGGGGGCTTGCGAAACGAGAGGACGTGAAGATTGGCAATTCCGACGTGGAATTGGATCCGAACGGGCAGGTGGGGGTGGAACGCGCTCCCATCAAAATTCTTAGAGACTGAGCTGGCTGCCTTCGCGAGGCCGCCCGACAGAACGAAGAAGTCAAAGCACTTGGGACCGCCTGAGCCGTAGCACGTGGGCCCGTCCGCCGCCACCAACTGGCCCCTGAGATTGTGAACGAACTCGCTCTCGTGAAGCGTGGGCGGCTCGATATTGAAGTCGCCGCCCATCAGGAAGGGCATCCCAGAGGTCGAAAAATGAGCACCAAGGGCCCCAAGGATGTCGAGGTTCGCTTCACTAAGCCCTTCAGAGTCCCGAAGGTAAAGAGAGGAGAGGAGGATGGCCTGGCCCTCTGGGGGGCGGACAGCTCCAACCACGACCCTGTGGGGCCAAAGCTCAGCAGGGCCCAAACAATGCAAACCCAGCCAGCTACGCGCCAGGATGGCAACACCACAGGAGCCCCCCCCCCCCCCTCTCCAAGGGTTCCTGGGACCCAGAGGGATTTCCAGCCGTGCCTGAGACAAAAGGCTGAAGCCACTTCGATGGCATCCCCAGCCTGGAGCTTGTGCTCCTGAGCGAGGAGAACGTGGGCCGAACACCTGGGAAGCTAATCTCTCACCGACGACCAAGCGTTGCCGTTGACTGTTTCCACGGCCACGGACAATTCTTCCGAGGGGGGGGCATCGGGGACTGCTGTGCAGCCACGAGCGGCAGCTCTGAGACTCCAAGCATCACGCCGTGCAGCCAGGGGAGTACGATGCGTCCCCTGAATTAACGTCGTGTCACCGCTCGCATGAACTGGCAAAATTACACGAGCAAGATTCTTCACGGAAGGATTGTAGCAACCGTGCTGCGGAGCCGCCGAGACCGACGGCACCGAGCCACAACGAGGAATACGTAGACTGGGGCCGTCCAGAGAGGAGCCAGGCACGCAGTAGCGCTGGATCCTGTCTAGAATGGCCGAAACAAATCTCTGATTCAATGCCCCCCGCTTCGCATCGAGACGTCGAGCGGGGGGCCGCCTTTGCCCGACGCCTTGTTAGCTGCCAGAGCGCGCGCAGCCTCACGCATCTTGGCCAGGTCAGGCGGTGGAGGAGCAGCCGATGATCCGCTGGCAGCCTGACCAGTGCCTGCGGTAGATCCCGTCGACGGAGCCGAGGGGGCCGAAGGCGAAGCTGGCTGTGCTGCTGGTTCTGCTTGGGCTGCCTGTCCAGGAGCGGGTGCGCCGTCAGCAGGATGCCCTTGCCCCTCAGCTTCAGCAGCATGAGCTCCGACCTCACCTCGGCGACGCTTGGCCTTGAGGCGTTGGGTCTGCTCGACGTGAGCCGCCTTGGCTGCCTGCACCGACCCCATCGCCTTGGCGAAGAGGTCCTTGGCCATGGTGCTGAAGCCGCTGACCAGCTGCTCCTTCCTCCTGTTGACCTCCGCGATGTCCGCCTCCTCGAGCGTGCCGACCTCGGGGTCGATGTCCAGAAGGTCGCCGACATCCAGCTCGAAAGCGTCGATCTTGCCTGCCGGGAGCTCGGAGAGGGACACGACAGGTTTGTTGGCGTCGGGGTGCTGCTTGCGCAGCAAGTGAACCTTCTCCGAGAGCTCGTCGTGCTTGGCGCCCAGGCCGTCCATCTCCTTGTTGATCTGGACGCTGAGGGGTTCCTGAGCGGTAACTTTGAGGCGGAGCGCCTCGAGATTGCCAAACTCCCAGGACAACTTGTTCCCCAATTTGAACCGTTCACGCTGGCAACGGGCGAGCTGATCTTCATGAGACTCCTCAGCCTTGGGCGGCTTCTTGAGTGCAGCCAGCTGAACTTGGTAGCGGTTGGCCTCCGTCGTGTTGCACACTTTGCGGGAAAGCTCGACGAAAGTCTCCAACTCCTGGACCGATAGCTGGGTGACGTTGGGGGGTGGGCCAGACTGAGCCGCACCTCCTTGCGGACCTGGGACCAAGGCGGGGGAAAAGAAGTAGCCAGGTGGTGACCACGCAGCGCCTCCGAAACCCTTGCCCTTTGCCCTTGGACGACTTGCCTCCGCCCTTGTACACGCCCTTGCCGTTGCCGCCACTCTGGAAGCTCTGATACTGCAGCCCTGGCGAGAGAGCGGGTAGCAGACCTCCGACAGCAGCGTTCCGAGCCCAAACACCAGCAGGAGGAGCGGGATCAGCAACTTTCGGGGCGTTCCAGGCCGTGCCGCAGTGCTTGCAGACGTGGCTCGCCATCTTGTTCTTGGCGCAGCCGCATGAGCTGCACTTCCATGTACTGCTTCGCTGGAAAGGAGGGCCCTGGCGCCATGGGGAGTCTGCGGAAGCATCTCCCGCGGGCCCAGGGCTCATCCGCGGCCGAGCGATGGAGGGGATGCGGCCCCTCGGCCTGTGTGGAAAGCTGGGGATCGATTGCCGTGAAGCCAAAGGCCCGCAACAGCAATGCCGTTCTGAAATACGCGGTTGCAAGTCCAGGCGCAACGCCTGGGCCAGAACGGCTGGAGGAGGAAGAGGAGGAGATGGAGGAAGAGGAGGAAACGGACGACGGACAGGCGGATGAGAAGGAGGAGGAGGAGGAGAAAGATGAGGAGAAGGAGGAAGAGAGGAGGACGAGGAGGACGAGTGGCAGGAGGAGCAACAGCATGGAAAGGAGCAGGAGAAGCGGGAGCGGGACATCGAGAACACGGGGAGCGCTGCTAAGAAGAGGTGGCGTGTACGGCTCCTGCGAAGAGGTGGCGAATACGGTTTCTGAGGCGGGACCTTTGCTCAGGCTGCTGGGCGGGCTTATTCTGCCCGAGGAAACAAGCCTACATGGTGAGAATCCTGGCTACTTCTTGCGAACAACCACTTCATGTAGAAGCGTAGCTACGACGGGATCCGAGGACAACACACGAACGACGCAGTTGAGGAGGAAACGCCGCCGTCGTCACCACAATCATAAGCAATGACACTCACCGCTTGCCTTCGAGATGAACATGACCATCACCATCATCATGGGTCCACCACCACCGCCACTGCCCTCATCATCGTGGTCGTCTCCATCGTCGCCATCCCCATCATCGTAACACGCATGACCATATTCATCACCATCTACTTCACAATACCCAACCATCATCACCACCCCAACCACAAATATGATCGTCATCATTACCTCCTTCGTCGCCATCGTCATCTCTACCATCACCATGAGCAGAATCAGTATCAACATTATGATTACCGTCAGCATGCTCGTCAGCATCCGCAAGATCAACACGATCATCGTCGCCAACGTCATCGGTACCAACCGCATCTCGATCGTCATCATCATCGTCATCATAAGGACCACCTCCATCGTCGCCATGAGCATCATACTCACGATATCAATCCTCACCATCACCTTCATCGTTAAAATAACAAGCCTTATCATCAGCGCTCTCATCGTCATCACCATCATCATCATATTCACCATCATCGTCATCATCATCATCATCATCATCATCATCATCATCATCGTCATCGTTATGAAAACCATCCTTTGCAACCGCCACCCTCACCACCATCACCATCATCACGGTCGTCGCCACCATACTCATACCATTCATCATCGCCACCACCATCATAACAATTCATCATCGCCACCACCATCATAACCAGCGTAACCAGCATGCTCAGCATTACCGTATGCATGCTCATCACCAAAACCATCAACAGCATGCATCATCTCCAACACCACCGACAACATTCTCCTACACAAACTCAGCATTACCATCAGCATCAGCTTCATCTTCATATTCATGACCATCATTATCACCATGAAGATGGTCAGCATCATCATGGTCATCATCATCATCATCATCATCGCCGACGTCGTCGTCGGCGGCATCGTCGCCACCACAATGCCATCACCAGCATCAACAATGTCATCATCATCATCATCATCATCAGCATCATCATCATCATCATCACCATCCACATCATCGCCATCGCCATCGGCACCAGCATCATCGTCAAACCCATCGTAATCGCAAAAAGTATCGCCATCGTCACCACCATCACCACCTTCATTATCGCAGCCACCATCACCACCTTCATTATCGCAGCCACCGACGCCATCATCAACCTCGTCGTCATCCCCACCATCATGATATGCTCCCTCCCTCCGGGTCCTCCTCCCCTCTCCGGCGCGCCACGCGCCGCGCCGAGGCCGGCGCCGCTGGCACAACGATGCCGCCCTCCTCCGCATCGTGCAGCCTCTGCGGAACGATGGAGGCAAGGAGAGGGAAGGGAGCTCCGCGCCGGAGCGCGGTGGGCCGGAACCGACGGGGCGACACGACGACGAGGGGGCAACGTTAACGTCAGGGGGAGATCGGCTCAGGGCGGGGAAGCATCGACCTTTGAGTCGGCGATGCATCGCCGAATGGATCGGCGATGGGCCAGCGATCGCGAATCCGAAGGTTCCTGGGCGGGTGGGCCACCCGCCATCGCTCGGACGTCCATTCCCCGTGCATTTTTCGATTTCGTGCGTGTTTCTGTGGCTCGATGATCCAGGATGCTCCTCGATGGCCCTCGCCGAGGAAAAAATGCACACGCCCGAGCGATGCCAGGACCATCGGGCCCCCAAGACGGCATCAATGGGCGATCGGGGGGCGAAGCGTCCCATTAGAGGAGCCGAAGCCCCGTGACCGCTGCAGCGGGAGGCACCGAGCGCGCGCAGCGCGCTCGTTGCCTCCTGCTCCCGCGACGACGTCGACGCCGACGACGACGACGACGCCGACGACGACGACGACGCCGACGACGACGCCGACGACGACGACGACGAGACACACTGCCTGCGCGCAGCGCGGGCGCCCAGGGGCGACCGCCGGCCTCTGATGGGGACAAGTGCGGGCACCGCCTGGGCCTGCGCGGGCCCTTGCTCGGAGGGAGGGCGGCGAGGACGAGGAGGACGAGGACGACGAGGAGGACAAGGAGGACGAGGACGAGGACGAGGAGGACGAGGACGAGGAGGACGAGGACGCTCTGCGCAGAGCGAGGACGAGGAGGACGAGGACGACGAGGACGCGCAGAGCGCAGGGCGAGGAGGACGGGGACGAGGAGGACGCGCAGAGCGCAGGGCGAGGAGGACGCGCAGAGCGCAGGGCGAGGACGAGCGAGGACGCGCAGGGCGAGGAGGACGAGGACGCGCAGAGCGAGGGCGAGGAGGACGGCGGCGACGAGCCAGACATCCGCCGATCTGAGGTTTGCGATCCGCGGCCCCAGAGGTCCCGACCTCCCTCCTGGGCGTGCTCTTCGCCTCGAGCCCACCTTTGGACCGTCCCGCGCAACGGGGTCAAAAGCAAAGAAAACTACCAGATAGAACCCAGTGTCCCAGCGTGGACCCCAGATAGTGAATTGTTGCACTGTAAAGGTGGCAAATATGCAGTGTAAGCTATGTGTCGAAACGTATGAAGCGTAAGCAATATGGTGTGAACGATGGAGGTGGAAGCTATGCGCTGTATGTGCGACGACGACGATGACAACGACGACGACGATGACACCGTCGACGACGACGTCAACGACGCCGACGACGACCACGACAACGACGGCGGCGACGACGACGACGAAGACGTCGACGACGACGACGAGGACGACGACGACGACGACGCCAACGACGACGACGAAGACGACGAAGACGACGCCAACGAAGACGACGACAAGGGAGGAGGGAGGACGACGACGGCGACAACGACGACAATGACGACAACGACGAGGGAGGAGGGAGGACGGCGACGACGCGAACGACGAAGAAGGAGGAAGGACGGCGACGGCGACGACGACAACGACGAGGGAGGAGGGAAGACGACGACGACGACGACGGCGACGAAATAGGAGGGACGACGACAAGACGCCGACGACGGACGACGACGACGACGAGGGAGGAGGCGGAGGAAGGACGACCACGGCGACAACGACGACAGAAACGACCACGACGCCAAAGAGGACGACGACGACGAACACGAGGAAAGACAAAGGACGACGTAGGCGTCGACTACGACGACGACGCGGGAGGAGGGAGGACGGCGACGACGACGACGACGACGACGACGACGCAAGAGCGCGCGCGCACGCTTGTGTTGAAAATCCGTGTTGCGAAACCTTGTGTTTTTGTAGGTTTTTTGGACACACGATCTTGGAATCCTTCCGAAACCGATGGGTTTTGAGGGATTTCGGCATACGCGCGCGACGACGCGCGCGTCTGCACGTCGTCCCAGTTTTTGCAAGAGGATTCTCGCGACGGCACACTCGCAAGGGCGTTCGACAGATTTCGACATGCGCGCGCGAAGCTCGTTTGGTAGCATCTTGTGAAAATCTAGAAACAAAACTCATTGCTTTCTCAAGATTTCGCAAGAGCTCGCGCGAACGATTTTCTAGAACTTCAGGCTTGCGAAACCCTGTGTTTGGGTATGTTTTTATTGGAACTCGATTGCGAAATCCTTCCGACATCGAAGGTTTTTGAAGGATTTCGGCATGCGCGCGCGACGACGCGCGCGTGTGCACTGCGTCCCATTTTTTGCGAGGGATTCGTGAACAAGTCTTATGTCAGAACAAAACATGTCCCCGCGTATTGTCTCTTTTACAAGGGAACCTCTGGGGAACCGATACCGCCCCCCCCTGGGATAGCGTAGATTCATATTTAGGATGGACATGTGGTCAGAATCATACATGATTTACATACCCGAAAAGGGGGGCGGATAACGCCGGGGGGGGGGGGGGGACAGTCTGTTTTTTTAAGGAAGGGGAAGATATGCGATGTGAACTGGAGGTGAAAATTAGGCGATGCGACCTACGAGGTGTAAGCTGTGTAGTGTCAACTTGCCGGCAACGCGGTTCAAGCATTGGCGGGCCCATTTATTACTGATCAAGGCAAGTTAAAGCCCCCCCCCCAATGCAAGATCTGCTTTGGAGAACCGTATCGTACGACATCCGGGGACGACGGCGGGAACGACGACGACAGGGGCTTGTCCAGCTCCAGGCGCACGGAGGTGAGCGCGTCCGCAAAGAAGGCCGCGGCCTCCGCGATCCGCCAGGCGGGCCTCTGGGCGCGCGCTGGGGGGCCATTCAAGGCCCCAATCAGAATCAAGCCGTCAAGTCAGGTCCTCATCATCCGACGTCTCATCATCGGCATCCTCATCATCATCCTCATCGCCCTTCTCCTCGTCCACCTCCGCCATCAACAGAGTACTCATCTGCCCACTGTATGCCCTTCTGCTTGATCCTCCCCCTCCACATACACCTTCGTCCCCCTCCTCCCGCTCCTCTGTTCTTATCCATCATAGTCCTCGTCTCCCTCGCCACTATCAACAATATTACCACCTTACACATAATCGTCATCACACTGATCATACCCATGTTCCATTGTGGGCCTATCAGTATCACCATCATCGTGACCACCATCACCATATCGACCAACATTGACTCCAAATCGATACACCCGAATCGACTGAAAGAACTCCGTGAGACTCTGGAGGACCCCATTGACCTCCAATGGACTCTATTGGATTCCAGTGGTCTCCATAGGGCGCCTCCATTGAAATCCCCATAAGACTGCATCGGCCTCCGTTGGGCCCCATTGCCTCCAGCACCAACGTCATAATATGACTCATCCTCCTCATCCCCATAGTGCAAGTCCCACTCATCAGTCTCAACTCTCGCATCAACCCACTGATAACCGCAATGCCCCCTCGGCCTCCTCGGCCGCATATTCCCCTCAACCTGCCTACTCATCAATATCACCATCCAACTCGTCATCGTCATCCTCATCGCCATCCTTTGGATCCTCATCTTGTCCAAGTTAGGTATCCGGCTCATCTTTCCCCTTCGCCACCGCACTACCATCGTCATCAGCATCGTCAGCATCTTCATCACCACTGCACTAATCGTCAGCATCAACATCATGATCATCAATATCATCATCGTCGTCATCATCATTATCAGCATAATCATCAGCAGGGCGATCATCATAACTATCAGCATCATCACAACCATCATCATCATCAACACCTTCATAATCAACATCATCATCGTCAGCATCATCATACGCATCAATATCACCATCCACATCATCACCATCATCATTATTACCATCCACGTCATCAGCGAAATCGGCATCATCACCATCATCCGCATTACCATCATCATCAACATCATCATCATCATCAGCAGCAATATCAACATTGAAACCAATATCACCATCGTCGTCTTTGATATCGTCATCATAAACACTCCCATCAACAACACCATCATCAAAATCTTCACCTTCCGCATCCACATCGTCACCACCCTCGTCCCCGATCATTGTCTTTACCCATCTCGGCAACAACATACTCACCATACCAAGCATCATCCGCGACCTTCCCAGTGCTCCCCCCAAGCCCTCCTCATATACCCCCTCACAGTCTTCCTCCTCCTTCTCACGATGGCCATCATCATTATCACCTTCATCATCATGACACCACTATCTATGCAAACATCCTCGCCAATTTACCAACATCATTTTCGTCCGCACGGTCGTCATCACCATCGTAGTCATCATTTTCATGATCTGTCTCATTCGCCTCCGTCTTCACCTGCTGATCCTCATCCTTTTCTAGGTCCGCCTGCTACTCCTCTTGCTGCTGCTACGTAACCTCCTCATACACATCAACCTGTCTCGTGCATCTCCGCGTATCGACTCTTCCTCCTCGTCGTGTTCTCACAATCCCCCCATCCCCCTATTTTCCCTCATCCTTCTCCTCCAGATCATCCTCCACCGCCTCATAGCCGTAATTGTCATTGTCCTCATCCATCTGCTCGCCACCGTTCTCCTCATTCTTTCTTGCTCGGCCCACCTGGATGTGCTCCAAAAGTTTGTCGCTTGTTTGCTCGAATTTCCCTACGTAGAGGGAAGTTGCCCTCCCAATGAACTTTTTCCATGCTCCCTGGCTCGGCGCGAGCAACGACACAACATGTTAGACACCCCCCGCGGACAATACATGCTTGTACAAGTCCAACGACTCGTCCCAGAAGCTGTAGAGGTCTCGGCAGCAATGCTCCGCCAGATCACATATGAAGAGAGCGGCCGCGGCAGTCTCGGGGTTATGCTAAGAAGGAAGGTCGGGGGAGCGCACATAGCAATCAATGGTGTCCAGCTTTGGTGTGGATCTGCGCACTGCTGGCACCGCATTTCTGCGAGGGCCGTAGGGCTTATTTCGTGATGGTAGGTGGGTGGCGGCAAGGTGGGCAAACTTGATCGTGAGATCGATCTCCAAAATATGACCGATATGGAATCTGCGAAATCAGCCCGACCAGCTGACGGCAGCGAGGACCGGAGTACAGCCAACCAGTATAAAAAGGATGCGCGGTGAGGATGCAAGGGCCTTGGAAGGCCACGTCGAAACAGAAGGATGCACAGTAGCCGTGGAAAGTCGCTCATCCTTACTATGCGGGCTGGCCGCACTCAGGTTCGATGTCGGGGGCCGTGCCAGGCCAAAGCCTGGTGAGGTGAGTGTGGGAGAGGGTCGCCCAGAAGCAACGAGGATGGCAATGAGGCGGGGGAACTGGAGCTAGTGGCGAACTTATGAGGAAGGAGGAGGACGACGAGGAAGGGAGAGGCAGGAGGAGGGGTAAGGGGACGAGGGATTGAGAAGGAAACAACAAGGATAAATTAGTCGGAAGCAGGCGTAGTACTGGTGGCTGGTGCCGCAGAGGCTGTACTTGGGAACTGGCAGATGGACGAACCCTAGCTGCAACAGTTGAACTGTTGTCCTAACAAGGATACTGTCGTGGTAATGGTCGTGATGGCCGTACGCAGTGATGCTGACGGCCATTGCTTTCACGATGATGGCAAACTGGCCGCGGCAGCGATGACAATGGCGAGAGCACCCGAGCGATCCATCAAGCACGTAACCCTCATTGAGCATGGAGCCAGTGGCTTGCAATAGCAAACAAGTGATAACTGATCGTCTGCCGCACACGCAATCGAAAGCAATAATAAAAGGCTTCTGCCCTCTGCGGCGGCAGTCATGCAAGCTTCTGCCTTCTGCAACGGCAAGCACAGACTCAGCCGGACTGAACGAATTCAGAAGGTTTGTGCGTTTCGTTGGGACGAGCTCTGTTTGCTTACCTGGCGGATGGGGCAACGGCCGCGTGAATACATTGCATCTACCTCAGTGCTGTGCCCGTCGCGTGACCCCGTGGCTCTGGCAGCGGGGCCTGTGCAGGCATGGTGCTCACGCGGTGCGCAGGCGAGCGGGCGATGAATATGACGAGGAAGACTATGCTGAGAAGAAGAAAGACGAGGACCCTGCACAGAGAGCAGGGGCGCTGTGCTCCCGACGCTCGTACTACCCAGCTGCCGCTCGCACTGGTGCTGACGCTGCCGCCAGAGCTGCTGACGTAGCTTGCCCCTCCATCGCGTGATAGATCGCTGAGGGATTACACAACGACTCTTGCGTGATCTTCTGCGAATTCTACAGGTTTCTCTGAAGATTCCTGGATTACCTCAGTTCAAGCGGATGTGCATCGGATTGCGTAGACTTCCCTCGACCTATCTGTATCTATCCTCGCACGCCTCCTGAAGAAGAGCCGTCAAGCCCGTATGGACTTCTCTGTTGCGCTCACATGCGCACTGCCACATGATCGAATCTGGTACTCAATGCATTTCAGCCCCTCCCCTTTTGTTCGCGTCCTGCCTTCATCAAGAGCGCTGTGCAATCCCCTCGATCACCTCCGATCTCGATGTCCTAGATCAGCTCTCTTCTACCTGCCACACGCTATCCCGCTGTACGGGAGCGCAAATAAGCTCGGGACCCTGATACACAGAACCCAGCTGTATGTTGTGCACGAGGGAGGTCAGGTCCTTTGCACCCCACAACTCAGCAACAACGAGGGAGATGTGGAAGCGGAACGTATCCTCCTACTGTGAACGAGAAAAACTGATATCTCAACACAACGATGGAAGGCTAACGACCGTGAGCGCTTTCCAGATCAAGATGGTTCAGCACAGGTGCATGTCATGCATCCATCCTCGCCTGTTTTCTGATCTGGAACCATCCTGACAGTCCCTCGTCCTTATCCTCAAGGTGCCGCCTGGAGGTGTCCAGGAGGTTCTCTGAGGTCCCCGCGTTGGCCACAGCTGGAGCTGTTCAGGCTCATCCTGGTGTCGATCTGATTGCCCGCCCCCACCCCCCTCTTCGCATCACCAACACTCCCCATACTGCCCGTCTGAGGATAGCTCACACTGAAATCATTACTTTGTGGGGATGCACGGCGCGACAATAGCTTTCTGCCTCGTCTTCCTCCTCCTGCCCCTCCTGCTCCTCCTCCCCCTCTTATTCCTGCTCATCCTCCTCCTTGCCCCCCTCCCTATCCTGCCGATGCTCCTGCTCGTGCGGTCAGCCCCTGATCCCGCTTCTCGTGCTCATCCTGCAAACCTAGCTCCTCCTCGTCCTGGCCACCCTCTTCACGATCCCCAGTACCGCCCCCCAGTCTGGACCATCATCATTATGACCATCATGGTCATCATAATCGCCATGTCCATCACAATCAACATCACCGTCATTATTATAAACATCACCGTCAATATGATTAACATCACTTCGCTCGGGAGCTTCCGAACGAAGTGAACCCCACCCTCCCCCTCAGAAATCGTGGGGGGGAAGGATAGGGTTCGCATGTAACCCCCTTATATTATCAACATCACCAACGTCATCGCGGTCATCATAACCATCATGAGCAAAGGGAGGGCCCACACGCCCGCGCTGGCCAAGGCAAATCCCGTCCCGCAGCCGCGACACCGCGATCCCCAGGGCGTCCCGCAGGGCCGGGTAGAAGCACCGCCTGGGCGGAGCTTCGCCGCCAAACTCTCGCGACGACCACCGCTGACACCACGAAACATCACTGCCGCCGCAGCCCTGCTCCCTCTGATCCCTTTCTCCTTATCCTGCTCCCCTGGGTTAGTAATCCTCCTCCTCCTCCTCCTCCTCCTGCTCAGCATCTTGCTTCACCACCTCCTCCATCTCCTCCCTTTGCTTCTGCTCCTGCTCCTGCTCCTGCTCCTGCTGGTCCTCCTCCTCCTTCTCCTCCTCTTGGCCCTCTTCGCATCCCTTTCTCTCCATCTCCTCCTGCTCATCATCCTGCTCTTCCTCTCCCTGCCACTGCAACTGCTGCATTTCCTCCTCCTCCTGCTCCGGCTTGCCCTCTTGCGTGTACTGCTCACCGCGCTCTGCCAAGGTACTGGTCCTGGTCATGATCCTGCTGCTGGTCTGGCTCCTGGCCGTGGTCCTGGTCTTGGTCCTCCTCCTTCTCATCCCCGATCCTCCTCTCCTCCTGTGGAAAAAGAGGAGGAGGAGGAGGGACAGGCGCGGAAGAAGGACATTGAGAAGAGAGAGGGAACGGGCTGACGAAGGGCAGGCATAGCTCGAACTGCCCCCCCGAGGCTCAAAACTCTTGGGGCTTCGGGGAACGGCAACTTCACATGTCAACCAGGAGGACATGATACAATTATCTACTGGCCGCCTTGGGGACGACAAACTGACAAGGTGTTGCTGGACAGCCGTGTTAGTGAATCTTGTTCTCTCTCGTCCTGTCGATTTATTTCCTTACTTTTTCGCTCCGGGGCAACCCCATTCCTGTTGTCCACTACGGGGGCCGCGCTGGACAAAAATAAAGTGGCAGCCGAGGCGTGCCCTAAGCCACCCCAGAAGAAACAAAACACTTTTAGAGATGGCCCTAACGATGGAACAGGAGCGATCCGGACCTTCTTGGCCCAAGAAGGTACCCCGCACTGACAACGCAAAGGAGAGAGGATGGATGGAGGGAGGGAGGCACCTGTGGAGGGGGGAAAGCGACCCGGGTGAACTGGCCCACCCACAGTTGGAGCTGCCGCTCGAGCTGAAGAGCACAGAAAAGGGCCCTCCCTGCATGCAGAGAGGAGGTGCAAGGAGGAGGAGGAGGAAAAGGAGAGGGAGGAGAACAGAGGGGGGACTAAACCGTTGCTCTCAGTCTTCTTCCGCAGCATCATCAGCATTAGCATCAACATCAACATCACCATCAGCATCAACATCATCATCACCATCATCATCATCAGAATCACCTGTTGTCCGTGCCGCTCGCGTTCCAAAACACCTGTTATGTGCGCTCCCCCTCCAGGTGTCACGCTTATCTCTTCCGCACCATCACCATCATCAGCATCAGCATCATCAGCATCACGGTAGTCATCATCATCGACATCACCATCAGCATCATCGTCATCATTAGCATCATCATCACTATTATCATTATCATCGCAAGCATCAACATCATCATTGCCACTAGCATCAACATTACCATCGCCACCTCCACAACCACGATCATCATCAACGACAACATCATTACCGTGCCTCCTCCGCCTGCGCTCTCCCTTCTGCAACCTCCCTTTCCTTTGCCAGTGGTCCCTTCCTCCTCGGCCTCCTTGTCGTCGTCCTCGTCGTCGTTGTCGTTCTCCTCCTCCTCATCGTCCGTTCATCCTCGTTCTTATCTTCTGCTCCCGCTCATCATCCACCTGTTGCTCCTGCTCGTAAATATCACCATCGTCGCCGTCACCATCATCGTCATAACCACCATCATACTCATCAGCATCAGCATTATCATCATCATCATCACCATCATCATCATCACCATCATCACCATCATCATCAGCATCAGCTTCGTGTGTGCTCCTTGTTCTCCTAACCATCATCCTTATCCTGTTGCCCGCCTTCCTCTCACAACAGATCATAACCCTATTCACCTTTCAACAAGTGGGCTGATCAACGATCCATCTCTCTCACAACCGGAATACCCAATTGGTTACTGAAGCACCCTGGCCCGAGAAAGGCCAAATGCCATTGCTAAGCTCGCTCCTGCCGTGCAGCATGGTCAGGGACACAATGAACTCCACCGTCTGCATGCTCTGGCAAGAGCTTTTCAACGGCTGCTCGCACCAACCTCCTCATCATCCTCCATGGACCGCTGCCCTCAATCCACAACCACAACTTCCCCCGTTCTGGAACAGCGCTGCGATGATGCTAGTCCATGGTTCTCTCCGTGCTCCTGGCCGGAATAACTCAGGAATTCTCTCACTAGCGAGATCTCTCTGTCTCTCTTTCCCTCACTCTGTGTGTACGTGTGTCTGCATAGATATTGATATGAATGTGAGCACGTTGATGCATGGGCTACGCTCTCGTTTCTGCTGCCAAATTTATTGTTGGTTACGCTCTCGTTTCTGTGTCTAATTGCACATGTGTCTGTATAGATATTGATATGAATGTGAGCACGTAGATGTATGTGTTACGCTCCCGTTTCTGCTGCATATGCCCGCTTGCTTCTATGTGCGACCGCAACCCTGTGTGCATGTGCCCACGTCTGTATGCACATGTCAATGTCTGATTATCTCCCGTAGCCCAGTTGTGGAATCCAAGACCGGCTAGCAGCGCTCAGGCGTGCCCGCCAGCGCTCGTGCGTGCGGACGGCAGCGGTCCAGAAGCTGCGCACGGGTCCAGGAAGTTCTGTTCTGAGCTGCCTGGGCGCTGCGCGTGGGCCTGGAGGGCGCTGCCGAATTGCCCAGGCACTGCCCAGGCACCAAGGAAGTGTTGCTTGAGAGCTGCGCGAGTGCCCAGGACGCCCTGCCTGGAGGCTGCCTGGGCGCTTCTCGCGAACCTGCGTGATTGCACTCGGGTTGCGTAACACATGCGGTGCGATCTCTACGATGCAACGTGCGTGGTGCAATCTGTGGTGCAATACATGTGATGCAAGCTGTGTAGTGCAATATCGGTGGCGCAGTCTATGTGGTGCACTGTATGTGGCGTTGGCAGTCCCCTACAATTTCTGGCATATACAGCCTGGGTGGCGCAATCTATGTGGTGCAAGTACTCGCTTGCTCAACTTGAAGCTGTCCTCTCCACTGCTCGTGCAAATATCCTACCCTCCCACCCGCAAATTGGTCGCAAGACCTCTTAAGACAAGACCGTGACGGTGGGTACCAGATGGCACTTGGCCACGACACCGACGCCGACGACTACAGCGACGACGACGACGATGGCGCCGCCGACACCGACGACACCGACGACGTCTCCAACGACTTCGACGACGACGACGTCAACGACGACGGCGACACCGACGACGACGTCGACGCCGACGACGACGACGACGATGACAACGACGACGACGACGCCGACGACGACGACGCCGACGACGACGACGAAGACGACAACGACGTCGCCAACGAAGACGACGACGAGGGAGGAGGGAGGACGACGACGGCGACAACGACGACAACGACGACAACGAGGAGGGAGGAGGGAGGACGGCGACGACGCGAACGACGAAGAATGAGGAAGGACGGCGACGCCGACGACGACAACGACGAGGGAGGAAGGAAGACGACGACGACAACGACGACGACAACGACGACGACGACGACGACGGCGACGAAATAGGAGGGACGTCGACGAGACGCCGACGACGGACGACGACGACGACAACGACAACGGAAACGACCACGACGACAACGAGGACGACGACGACGAGCACGAGGAAAGACAGAGGACGACGTAGGCGACGACGACGACGACGACGCGGCAGGAGGGAGGACGGCGACGACGACGACGACGACGACGACGCAAGAGCGCGCGCGCACGCTTTTGTTGAAAATCCGTGTTGCGAAACCTTAGGTTTTCGTATGGTTTTTTGGACACACGATTTTGACATCCTTCCGATACCGATGGGTTTTGAAGGATTTCGGCATACGCGCGCGACGACGCGCGCGTCTGCACTTCGCCCCGTTTTTTTTTGCAGAGGATTCTCGCGACGGCTCACGCGCAAGGGCGTTCGACAGATTCCGACATGCGCGCGCGAAGCCCGTTTAATAGCATTTTGTAAAAATCTTAAAAAACCCAATGGCTTTAAGATGTCGCAAGAGCTCGCGCGGAAGCTTTTTTAGCAAATCAATGATGCGAAACCATGTGTTTTTGCATGTTTTTGGAAACTCGATTGCGAAATCCTTCCGGCACCGAAAATGTTTTAAGGATTTCGGCATGCGCGCGCGACGACGCGCGCGTGTGCACTTCGTCATACTTTTTTGCAAGGGATTCGTGAAACAAATGTTATGTTAGAACAACAAATGTCACCGCATTGTGTTTTTTACTGGGGACCCCCAGGGGGGGGAACCCGGCCCCCCGGGGATATTGTAAATTCATATTTAGGATGGACATGTGGTCATAATCATATATGATTTACATGCCCGAAAGGGGGAGTGATAACGCCGGGGGGGGGGGAGATCCTATTCTGTTTTTACTATTTTGTTTTTAGAAAGGAGGATTTATGTGATTGAGCCTGCGTGGTGCAGGCTGTGTGGCGCAATGTACATGATGCAAACTATGTGGCGCAATCCACTTTGCAGAACTTGGATTCGTCAACCCCACTGCTCGCGGAATCACCCCACCCTTTCACCTGCCACTTGTTTTGCGCAACCCATGCGGTCGCGACTGCGGTGGGTACTCGGCACTGGCTGGCGCATCCCTTCGGCCGCGCTGGCGCGCGCAGGCTCGCGCGCGGAGCGACCACGTGGTTTGGCACAGCCGATGCGGCCGCAATGGCGCTTGCCCCAAGGAACTCCCCAACGCGTCTCGAAGGCCGCGCCGGCGCGCGGGCACTTCATTGCGGGTCGGTGACTCGGGCGGGCGCGGTATCATGATGATGCTGGCAACGGCGATGGTCGTAGCGATGGTGGTGGCGATGATGATGATGATGATGATGATGATGATGATGATGATGGTGATGATGATGATGATGGTAACGGCGACGGTAAAGCCGATGACGGCGTCGATGCTGGTGACGCGATGGCGATGATGATGTCCATGTGTCGATGATGCAGGTTGACGTATGATTGCGGCAGTGGCGACGAGTCACGATGCCAATGACGGCGGTGATGCGGCGGCGCTGATGGGGGAGACGGTGAAGAAGTGCGCCCGTGGAAAAGCAAGGACACTGGTGCACTCTTTCCTGAACAAAAAGATGTGTCCCATATTTACCAGTTTGAAACATATCCCTATCTCTATGTTTGACATCATCTTACCTCGATGCCGATCTTGAGAATTCCCTCTGTTTCTGAGGGCCTGTCCCTAAGATTGTCCTCGCTTTTTGCTCGCCCATCTCAGGGATAGGGATACGTTCGAGTCTGGTTACCTATGCTTTGCTTGACGCTCTATCTTGAAGTGCTTCGGCAACCAACGTCTCCTGACGGACTGCGGCGCGCGCGTGGCGGCGCGCGCGCGTGTTCCGCATGCACTGGGCGCATGCTGGATCGCACCGCGTTGCACAGAGGGGGTCTGTTTTCTGGAATGGATTGCTGAGCTAATGGGGGCTTTTTATCAAGGGGAAAACAAACCTACCTCACTTTTGACCACCCTCGCTTCCAAGAGATACCAAGCGATACCAAACTGCAGCCTGTACTGGTCAGGCCGCTTGACGAGAAGGCGCGTGGTATACCTTGGTTTTGCTTGGAAGCGAAAGCGGGGTAGGCAATTCACGCTCTGATTTATGTTTCTAACAAGTGCGCTCGGGCAGAAAACTGAGACCATGTTCTATGACAGGCTGGGCGTTGTTGCATGCGTTCGTCGAATGCTTGCAGATCTGGTGTTCCTGGTATGGTGTAGAAAGGTGCGCGCGTGTGGACTCTGTTGCGGTGCGTTTTCTTCGTTGCCAAGGGCTCAGGAAGCGTACTTTTTGTGAACAACGGTTGCGCGCGCATTGCCATATTTTTCGCAGAGGCGAAGTAGAAGCGCCGGTGCCCGTTCGGCTGTGAGAATATGACTCACATGGAGCATGGACGATATGGCAACACCAGATGAAATGTGAAAAGCCCCACGAGATACCGTCAACCCTAGTGGGGGGGTCTATCTCTTGAAACCACATAAACCAAGCTAGTAATGAATTGTCAACTCCACTGCTCGCTCAAACATCCCACCCTCCCACCCGCCATTTGTTTTACAAAACCTATGCGGCCGCAATTGCGGGGACTGCGCGGCACTGGCTGGCGCATCCCTGCTGCCGCGGTGGCGCCCGCAAACTCGCGCGCAGAGCGACCAAATGGTTTGGCACAACTGATGCGGCCGCGGTGGCGCTTACCCCTGGGAGCTCCCCGGCGCGTCTCAAGGCCGCGCTGGCGCGCGGGAGTGTTAATCCGGGTCGTTGACTCGGGCGGGCGCGATATCATGATGACGTCGGCAACGGTGGAAATGATGATGCTAGTAGCGATGGCGGTGACGATGATGACGATGACGACGGCAGTGCCAACGACAGCGCCGATGTTGGTGAGGCTGGTGATGCGGCCGATTATGGCGGCACTGCCAGCGATTGGCGTTTACGATGACTACGGTGGTGCGATGGCGCTGATGAGGGTGATAGTGGTGGGGAAATGCGCACGCAAAAATTCAAGAAATCTGGAACGTTTGTTGTTGAACTGCGTTTGGTTCCACCTGTTTCTGTAACGCTCTGTCATGGTATGCTTTGTCAACAAATGGTCTTGAACGGATTTCGACGCGAACGCGTGGCGGCGCACGCGTCTGGCCCGCATGGTACTGTTTGATACGGATTCGTACATTGGGCGCAATCTAGATCAACGCATCTGCACCGCGCGGTGAAATAAAAATGCGGTGTTGGAAGAGGTTGCTAGCATAATGTGCTTTCTAATGGTTTTAGGAGGTGCGCGCGGGCCGATATGTTGCAACCTTTTTAACAAGCGAACCAATGAATTGCAAAAACGGTTTAAAGGGTGACGTGCTTGCAGAACTGATGGGCTTGGTATGAAATCGAAACGTGCGCGCGTTCATGGGCTTGTGGTATTTGTTGCAACGGACTGTGCAAAGTGACTTTTTGAGATAAGCGAAAATGCGCGCATAGTATATTTTGACAGGGGGTGGGGTGGGTGACGATGCCGGTTGGGCTGGGATGCTGCCATTCGATATCTAGAACGAACGATCGCGCACACGTGGACTTGAAAAAAACCCAGGAGGGCCTTTAAATCTTGGGGGTGGGGAGAATGTGTTTAAGTCTGTTCTTCTTTGAACTGGAGAATCTACTTGGCGACATTTGGGGTCTCTTGAGCCGAGCGTCGGGAACCCGAAAAGGCGAGAACGCATAAAGCATTCAAACACCGAAGGGAAATCACGGATTATTGCCTCTGGGGGCCCCCTTGGGAGTGCTCTTGGATGCCTCTTGGCGCGCCTTCGAGGCCTCTTGGGTCGTCTGGAGGCCATCTGAGGCGTGTTGGAGCGATCCTTCGGCGATTATGTGCCCTCCCGGACCGTCATGGCGGCTCGCGGTGCGGGGAGCTTTCTTGGCCCGTCTTGAGGTCCTCCTCAGCGAGTGGACCGTCCCGGAGGCCCGCGCGGCACACCCCAAAAGCGCCCGACGCTGCCTGGGACCGCCCGTGGTACTTGGGGTCTGGGCCCCTACGAACCTTACTTCTTACCTTACTTCTTAGGGTTTCATGAGCCTCGGGGCTCTTCACTTCGTGCCAGAGGCACGGTTGTGGATATGGGCCGCGTGCTTGTTAGACACGCATAAAGATACATTGCGTCGTAGATGCACCCTGCACATGCAGCCTCTAACGACCGTCTGATGTCCGTACACATATGGGCATAGCTGACCGTTCAATCCCAAGGACAATCATTATGCTTCCGATCGACATGTAATACGTAGCACCCCGAAAGTGCGGATAAGAGTGAGGGGGCGGGCGCGGGCGAGGCGGGCGTCGAGCCGGCGGACCTCGTGGCCCTCACCTTCCCTGTCGATGGCGCCCTCCTCCTCCTCCTCCTCCTCCTCCTCCTCCGCCATCCCGATCCTCCCCCCTCCTCCTTTCCGTCGTCGTCGTCCTCCTCCTTCTCCCCCTCCTCCTCCGTCCTTTCTCGTCGTCCCCCTCCGTACCCCCTCCTTTACCCGGGACGAATGCAAAAACAGCCCGCCGCAGGCGCCGAATTTTTGGCTGATTCAGTGAACGTAGTTTCGGTCGCGGGTGGGTCGCGGGCTCTCCACCTCCACCTAGACGGAATTAAAAAACAGCCCGGGGCAGGCGCCGAAAATTTGGATTTGTACACTGATCGCGGTTGGGGTCGCAGGTTCCCCACCTGGAACGAATGCAAAATAAACCTGCCGCAGGCGCCGATTTTTTGGCTTGTTCAGTGAACGTAGTTTGGGTCGCGGGTGGGTCGCGGGCTCTCTACCTCCACCTGGAAGGAATTCAAAAACAGCCCGCCGCAGGCGTTGAAAATTTTAATTTGTACACTGAACGCAGTTTGCGTCGCGGGTGGATCGCAGGTTCTCCACCTAGAAGGAATGCAAAAGAAGCCCGCCGCAGGCGCCGAAAATTTTGGGTGGGTCGCGGGGGTGCTCGCGTGTTGGTCGCGGGTGGGTCGCGGTGGGTCGCGGGTGGGTCGCGGGCGCGATTTTTGAGTCGCAGATGAGTCGCAGGTTCTCCACCTGGAACGAATGCAAAAGAAACCAGCCGCAGGCGCTGAAAATTTTGAGTGGGTCGCGGGGTGGGTCGCGGTCGCGGGTGGGTCGCGGGTGGGTGGCGGTGGGTCGCGGGTGGGTCGCGGGTGGGTCGCGGGTGGGTCGCGGGTGGGTCGCGGGTAGGTCGCGGGTGGGTCGCGGGTGGGTCGCCGGGGGGGTCTCGGGGTGGGTCGCGGGCGGGTCGCGGGGTGGGTCGCGGGTGGGTCGCGGGTGGGTCGCGGGTGGGTCGCGGGGTGGGTCGCGGGTGGGTCGCGGGTGGGTCGCGGGGTGGGTCGCGGGTGGGTCGCGGGGCGGGTCGCGGGTGGGACGACGACAACAACAAACAACAAACAACAAACAACAAACACCAGACAACAATCAACAAACACCAAACAACAAACAACAAACAACCAAACAAACAAACAAACAAACAACAACAACAACAACAAGAATCCGCATCGCGGAATTCCTCTTCAGCTACGCACCCAGGGACAGTGAATGACCGTTCGGTTCAGCCCCCTCACTCTGATATGCGTATATCGTTCAAGGTGTCAGATTGCATGTTCGAGTCAAGGGAATACTCCCCCAGGCCCTCGGTGTGGAATTACTGGCTAGGATTCGGTTGATGGCTCGCCTCCTGCCTCACCCGCCACTTCCTCTTGCTCACACCCAACCAACCTCACACTTAGACCCGCTCGCACTGAGATTTGCTCGTACGCAGCTTCACTCACACTCAGACTCACTCGCACTAGGACCTACTCATGCACAGTCCCAGCCCTCTAAGGCACCTCGCCGACTCTCTGGGGGCCGCACAGGAAACCAAACATTTATGGGAACTACATGTAGCGTTCACGAGATTTGGGGTGTCTCGCAGTTTGTGTCTCAAGCGCGCCTCGGACGGCCTACCAAGACTTCAAGATCGCCCCAGGCCATATTCCAAGTCCACAAGGAGGTCCCAAGAGACCCTCCAAGATGGCTGCAATACAAAGCAGATGCGTCCGAAAAGAAGCCCTCTTAAGAAATCCAGCCATGAACATCCGCTGAAACTCTTGCCCAAGGCATGCTCTTTTTAGCCAGGAGTTCCGCATGGCGAAACCAAAAAAGCCTCGATTTGATCACTTTCTCCTGGAACAGACGCTGGAAAGAAGCCCACGGTTGTTCGGCAAGCCTACTGGTGTCATTGGGGGGGAACCAATGGTATCCTGGATGCACAAGTTTCTAAATGCCCGCGGGAAGTCACCGCACAGAACGCGAAAGAAAGAAACCCGTGGCTACCCCGACGAACAGCTTCGGCTTCTGGATCTGCGCTCGCTGACACCCTGGACCACTCGTACTCACATTCACCCATCTCGTACTCACCTCCATTTGCGCTCAGACTCACTGACACCAAGACTGACATGCTCAGATTCACTCACAGTCAACCTCACTTGTAATTTGACCCACCCGAACTCACATATGTGTATCAACGCATCTATTGTCGGGTGGGGGGCACGCGCTGCCGAGAACTTCAAAACTGGCCACGGTAACGCGAATGCTGCCGCGCAGCTAACTGCTCGGCTTACCGGCCGCGATCACTTGGCGGAAGCCCACTGCATGCTTGGAGTGCAGGGTTGCAGTTCTCTTTGAGGCATGCCTGACTATCAGGGTGCTGTCTGCCTTGCGTGCTCAAAAGCTTGAAGCACTTGTTGATACCGCATACCGATGCGTCCACGAAGCAGACCGCGCATGGCGCTGAAAGTCCCAAAGCCTCGTGCATCTTGAGAGAGCTGGCGGCATCGATTTGGAACTTGAAGACGCTGAAACACTGCTTCCCAATCTTCTCCAAGTCATCCGCGAGACTCGAGCCCGCAAGGATCTCTCTGTCGGTGGGGTTGTCACAGATGCCCTCCGGCTCTGGCTCATCACCGGGTGGAGTCCCGCCGTCGGGATTCTCCTCAGATGGCGCCTCGTCATCCATCATATCCGTAGACGCTGGCACGTCCCTTAGCTTGCAGCACTGATTCAGGCTATCACCAAATTGGCAACGGCGCTTGCAAAAATCTGGGTCGGCACACGTGACCTCCGACGCATCCCAAAGACAGTCTGAATCAGTCAGTGGACGCGAGGGTCGGACCTTGAGCCGGCAACTCTCATCAATAGTCATATCTAGGAACTTATACTGATAAGAGCACACGCTTTGGTGGGCGCATTCCGCTGCAGCATAATCCCACTTGCATTCCGAATCCTTCGTTGGCAAACGCGGCAAATGATCCCTCGATTCAGTATCATTTCCAGCACCGTCTTCAGAGTTGAACACCTTGTCTTTGAGCATGAGCTCAAGCATTTGCCTCGTTGCTGGGTCTTCCAAAAATTTGGTGGTCACGCTCAAATTCGCCACGGTTTCCACATCGCGTTCACGCCCTCCCAACTCCGCAATGATTTTGTCGAACTGGGTTGCCAGATCTCCGTCTAATGGACAACAACCGATGTCTTGACAAACCATACTGGACGCGAGCTCCGCATCCATGCCCGCGCCTCTCCCAGCCCAACTATCGGCAACCATGTCGAGGATAGAGCTGTGACTGCTCCTGAGCTGGTCTCCGAAGCTCGAACACCTTGAGCGGCCGTGCAGCGTTGCACCATGCGAGCACGCAGCGGCTGCGTTCAAGCCGGCGAGTGCGTTGGCATCGGTCGAGGTGGTCCGGAGGGCACCCGCGAGGAAGAGGCGACACGCGGAGCACTTCTGAGTGCTGTAGACCAGCCCAGTGCCCATTGACACAAAGTCTGCGACGGCTGAGTCGGAGGGAGTGCACAGATCGAGCCGAGGGCTGTTTACCAGCCTGGAGCATATCCCTATCCCTATGCTGGGCATCTCCTCGTCACGATGCCAATCTTAGGGATCCCCTTATTTTTTGAGGGCGGATCCCTAAGATTGTCATCGCCTTTGGGCGTGTCAATCTTAGAGATAGGGATACGTTCGAGGCTGGTAAGCTGTTGATAAAATACCTGAAGTCGGAAGTGCCAGTCATTCTGCCCGTGTCTTCGCTCGGGTCCACTAGCGTGAAGGTGACCTTTGCCCCGTTTTCTCGCAACTCCAGCGCACGGCCTCCGGCAAGGAACACTGTGATCGCGGTGTCCGCGCTCCGGAACAAGAAACTGTTCTTGTGCAGCTTGGTTTGGCGAACGGGCGAGGTGAACTTCCGTCGAGCAGTACGCCAGCCGCATGTATCGTCGAGGTCCAGGTAGACAGAGGTCCCAGCACAAGTGGTGCGGTAGGAGACGAGGCACTTCCCGTCGTTGTACGACTTGGTCAGGAGCAGCACGCCGTTCCACGACGCAGAGGATGCATGCACGAAGGTGCCAGCCCTGCTCTCGCCCCCGCCGTCCTTGTAGTCCATGACGACCCAGTGCTCGGCAAGCGTGCAAGCCTTCTCGGAGATCACACGGTCTGGCCCACGCTCGGGAACAGCAAGTTCGGCAACGCGCTTCGCCACTGCTACCTGGCACTGGCGGGCCAAGGCCGCGATGGGCACGGCGAGTCTCGCTGCGGGGAGGCTGCGCATGAACGCGGCAAACTCAAAAGCGGATGTTTGCAGAACACGTCGGTTTTTGCCTGAACGGAGGAGGCTCCGTCCGAAACGGTTTGAGCCAACATGGCTACGAAACCACTCGCACGTATGTTTTCTCATATCCGGATCCGCCACAGTGCCATTGGAACTGCGTGGAGTGCTCTCAGTCCACTCGGAGCTCCCTGTATGGGGCATTGCACTGCAAATGCGATGTAAGGGGCCCAGAGCCCAGAGTTTCGGGCGCTGCCGGGCGATCTTAGGAATCGTCGCGTGACTTGCCCAGAGGCCTCGGGAGCGTGGTTGGGATTCCACACGTCCGACATGGCTCAAGATGGCCCGAGGGGCCGTCCTGGAGCCCCCTCGGACGGCCTCCTGGGCCGTCCCGGGGAACTCTGGGTGCCGCCCGCAAATTCTCGAATGGCGCTAAGATTCAGTCGGACTTGATTGGAGAGGACACGCGAGAGGACACAAGATCCTTGCGAGGGCCACATCGCCATAGGAGTGTAGGAAGGCACGTGTCGGGAGGCACAGGACACACGGGTACCCTTGAGCTGGCAGGGTCGACCTACTAACTAATCTGGGCCGACTGTAAGACTCTAGCCCTTTTCGGTCTTGTGGGCGAACAGGACGGGCCAAAAGGGCCCCAAAATTCGGCCGCCAGGCCCACCAAGGCAGGCCCACGAACCCCCCCCCCGTGAGGCCCCAGGATGTCCCCTGGACCCACGGTGGCCTCCGAGACCGCCGCGAGGCCCTCGAGAGGCCCCCAGGAGGCTTCGGGAGACCCGCAAGAGGCACCACAGAGGCCTCTAGGAGGCCTCCCGGGAGGCGTCTGCGAGGCCTCCGGTCCTCAACCCGGGCACGGTGGCGGGCTGGACCGAAGCCCACTGGGCTCGTCGACCGTCTGCTGGCAGAGTCGAAGTCTCACACATCCCTCGACCACGCGTAAGAGTGACCCCTCGCAGGAGTGACCTTTGGTGCGGGCCCAGTGGTGCTCCCCGAATGCCGAAAGCGATGCGGTAGTAGCGTCTTGCACCCTTGTGCTTGGCCCACCCCCGTGGCCTCCAAAAAGCCGCGCACCAAAGGTCACTCTCACCCAGGGTCACTTTTACGTGTAGCCGAATCAGGGCCCTTCCCAAAAAAGGTTCCCAGTGTCCTCCTGCCCACCACTGGAAACCATACGAAAGACATCTCTTATCGGCTTCCCCGATCAAGATGGAAGAGAGCCGTCAAGACAGACAATGTAGCCCAAGATAGTTCCAAGATGCCTCCCAAACACCTCAAGGTACCTCCAAGACGGCCCCAAGACGGCCCAAGACCGCCCGAGACGACCCAAGAGGCTTCGACGACGCCCACAAGACGGTTCAAGAACCATCCGGGAGAACCCCCTGGAGAGCCAGAAGATGCCAAACTCGTTGATCACGCTATGATTCGCGAAACGAAATGGCGCTAGCGAATCCTTGGGCTCCTGACACCCCAAGACGGCCCAAGGTGCTCCCAAGGTGGCCACAAGATCGGCCAAGAGGTATCCAAGATGGCCCCAAGCTGGCACAAGAGACCTCCAAGGTGGCCCTAGGAAAGCCAAGACGGCCTAAGACGCCCCCCAAAAGATGGCCTCCGACTGCGTCGCACAGGCCAAGGAGGCCGCTGAAGCGGCCCAAGAGGCCTCCAAGAGACCCCCGAATGTACTAGATTTACTCCGAAAAGACCTCAGGAGACCTCTCAGAGCCCCTCAGCCTCAGAGGCCCCCCTAGCCTTCAAGAAGCACCCACTAGGGCTCCCAACTTCGCGCTTCGCGCTCCGCGAAGCGCGAATAACTTCGCGCTCTCGCGCCGCCCCCCCAGAGGGAGAATAGGAGGACGAGGAGGAGGGGGAGAAGGAACGAGGACCGCGAAGCGCGAAGCGCGAATAACTTCGCGCCCTCGAGGGAGCCCTTGCAAGAAGCACCCAATAGGCCCCAAGAGAGCCACGAGTGGCCTCCGAGGTTCTCGTCCGAAGTAGCATCGTTATCCTTCTCCTCCTTCGGCCCCAAGCGTCGACCCCAAAGCTTCCGCAGTTGGTGGGTAGCCGCAAAATCTAATAGCCTGAATCGGGGAGACGTAAGACCCGGATACGGGGGACTCGGAAATCCCCGACGAGGTCGTCAAAAAAATGACGAGGCCGAGCCTGCCTTTTGACGAGGCCTCCCGCTGCAGACATCCCACGAAACTCCTCCTCGTCAAAATCCGAGGCGCGGTCGTCAAAAAACGATGGCGAACCCGAGTCCCGGCAAACCCGGGTCTTACGCTTCCCCGATAATAGCCTGAGGAGGCTTGGGCCCCACTTTTGGCCACATGCGCGCTGCCAAACAGGTACGGGACGGCGGTGATTCACCACCCCCGCTTGCTTGCAAACGGGTGCTTGGTGTACCGGGCTTGTGAATACCATTTGGCCCTTCCAACGTGTTCCAGATGGCCTCCCGCCCAACCCGCCGGCTACACGAGCACACAGAAAATCGGCACAACTCGCCGCCAAGATTCCCATGAAGGCCCAAGGTAGCATCCAAAACACTAAGATTGTGTTCAGGATGGTCCAAGAGAGTCCAACAGGCCTCGAAGGCTGCCCACGCTGCCTCCAAGATGGCGTTAAGACGGTGGCCTCAAGACGGGCCAAGAAGTTTGAAAGGGGTCGGGAGGCCCTACCGGCAGCTTCGCCTTAGGCGAAGCCCAGCCCCAGCTACGATGCCAGGTCTTCAAGGTGCTATTTACCAAGGACTGAATCGTGAAAGCGAACGTCTCCTCGTTCATGGAGAAGCTGATGCCCATGGTATCCTGTGACGTCATATGCATGGGCATTACTCTCGGCAGGTGTCCCCGCGACTGGCTCTGGGTCGGATGCCCTTTTGATGAGTAACGGGTCATCCTCGCATCGGGGATTGGCCGCAATAGAATCGACATCGGCCCTTTATCCCGAGTTGCGGTCCCGTACTGGTCGACCTTGAGTGCCAGATGTCCAGAAGGCGTTTTCATCAAATCAAGTACTCAGCCGTGGGCGTGGGCGTCTTTGATCCGCCTGCCCCGTGCATGCCATAAATCAAGATTACTTGGGGGCCCTTCAAGATAGCTGGCAACCCCAAACAGAAAAACGCACCGTCGGCATGTCCGTCCAAGATGGCCCAAGATGGCCTCCAAGACGGACCAATACGGCCGAAGCTGGCCTCCAAGACGGCCCAAGACGCCTCCAAGACGTCCTAAGAGGCCTATTAGACGACCCCCCAGAGGGCACCAAGAGGCAAGAATCATTGATTTCCCCAAGGCGTTGAAATGATTTGGGCGCTCTCGCAGTCGACGGCTTCGGACAGCCTCTGACGTCCCACCAGGCCTCCGAGGTAGCATAAGAGGCCCTCAAGCAAGAAGGCACCCCAAAGGCCCCCAGCACGTCCAAGATGGCCTCCAGAACGGTCCAATACGCCCCCCAAGACGGCCAAGCAGGCCCCAAGACGGCTCCAAGACGACCTCAGGTGCCCCCACGATGACACCAAGATGCCTCCAAGAGGTCCACAGGAGGCCCCAAGAGACCCCCATGAGACCAATTCCTGGTCCACATCCCCCTCCACATCATATCCTCCTCCTTATTCTCCCTCTCCTGCTCCTTCCCCTCCTGCTCCCCCGCAGATTATCCCAAGGGGCCCCACAACTGTGGTCCAACGTTTGGCCACAATCATGTTCTAGAAAGGCAGAGGGCGGTGGTGACTCGCCGCATGCGTAAGTGATAACAAACACATATATATATATATGTATATACACGTGTATGTGTGTACACATTCGTATTGTCCCACGGGCATATATATATATATACAAATGCATGCACACGCTTACATGCATATGTACATACATACATACACACATACATACATACATACATACATACATACATACATACATACATACACACACACACATACATACATACATGCATGCATGCATGCATGCATGCACGCATGCATGCATACATACATACATACATGCATACATACATACATGCATTCATACATATATACATGCATGCATGCATGCATGCATGCATGCATGCATGCATACATACATACACACACATACATGCATGCATGCACACACAAACATACGAAAATACATACATGCATGCAGACATGCATATATGCGTACATTTACAGACATATATATATATATATATGTCTATATACATATATATATACATGTGTGCAAGTGTTTGTATGTCTGTGTGTATACATCTATATATATATATATACAGACATATACAAGAACGATCGGGTGCGCTACGCGCGCGCTCTGGTTCTAGCGCAGGCTATTGGCGGGCTCTGGCAACTCTTGGGCACATGTATCACGCGCAAGCGCTTGCCATAGTCGCACTCGCCCTCACGCTCAGGAAGAACACCATTAAAAGGCTTCGCGCCAGTAGGTTGTACATAATGTCTCGGCTCTTGGAAGGCGCCCGTTGTCCGCAGATTCCCCCCCCACCGCCAGATATTCCCGAAAGCCTCTCTGGGAACATCTGGATTACGACGAGGGCGAGGTGCGAAAGGATGAGCAACACTACCCTGAAGCTTCACCGAGGACTTCGTGCAAAATGAGCGGTTTCCTGGCGGTCGCTGGGAAGCCTCAGCTGGGCATGGAAAGAGCGTCTCGGGTGTCCGTGGGGCACCTCGGGAACTCTCGGGAGGTCTATCGGAGCCTCTTGGAGGGCCTTGGGGCTATGTCCGAGGCTTCTTCGGGATTCAGCCGAGTGGAGGCCTGCGTGTCGCTCCCTGGGAGTCGCCCAACCCACACAACTAGAGGCGCTTAGCGGGCACCGTGAGCACACGGTCGACGATGGCCAAATGGCTCCGCGGTCGCCGTCCCTCGGGGGCCTCGATGATGTCAGCGGCAGGCGGAGAGATTGGCTGAGGGTGAGGAGATCGAAGCGGGAAGGGCGGAGGAGAGCCACGAGGCTGAAGGGGAGTGGAGGAGGAGGAAGAAGAGGAGCAGGAAGAGGAAATGGACGACGAGGATGCTCCCAGAGGCGTCTGCGGGAACGCCTGCATCACGACGACATCGACAACGACTGTTCTGGTGGAAGCCGATTGTACTGGTGGGAACCTCTCGTCGGGTGGGGCACCTTTCGAGTGCGCAACCTACGGCTGCCGTCTGGACGAACTTGGGGGAGCCTCACCCAATGCAGGTTGGGAACGCCAGGGAAGCTCCCCGGAAGCCTCCGGGGGGATCTGTTCGGGGCCCGTCGGAGCTTCCTCGAGACTCAAGGGGAGGGCTCGTCGGAGCCTCGGTTCGCGTTCACCCTCTCGGGGCGCTCTTGGGGCCGTCGTGGACCCCTCTTGGGGCCATCTTGGAAGCCTCTGGGCCTGCCTGGGGCACCTCATGGGCCATCTTGGGGCGCTCTTGGGCGCCTCTTTGGGCCGCCTCGAGGCGGTCTTGGGGACTTCTGGGGCTCTCTGGGAGCGCAGGGACCCTGGGAAAGCAAAATCGATACAATTCTTCCCGAGGCCAATGGGAAATCAATGATTTTGGCAGCTTCGAAGGCTCTTCGAGGCCTCTTGTGAAGGCTCTTCGAGGCCTCCCCGAAGGCTCTTCAATGATTTGTTGCTTCTTCGATGATTTTTGGCCTCTTCGAAGGCTCTTCGAGGCCTCTTGTAAAGGCTCTTCGAGGCCTCTTCGAAGGCTCTTCAATGATTTTTGGCCTCTTCGATGACTTTGGGCCTCTTCGAAGGATCTTCTTGCCTAGGGGCTGTCTTGCGAAGGCTCTTCGAGGCCTCCTGGGGCTGGCTGGCCGCTACCTGGGCCGGCTGGGCGCCATCTTGGACGTCCTGGAGCGCTCGTTTAGGGCTTCGGAGCGTCCTTGGAAGCCCCGAGCGATCCCTCCTCCTCCTCCTCCTCCTCCTCGTCCTCCTCCTCCCGCCCTGCGCTCCTCCCGAGGTCGCCCTCGGCTCGTCCATGGAGGCCGCCGTGCCCGTGCCTTCGTTTCCTGGGCCGCCTTGGGAGCCACTTGGGGCTCCGGAGCCCGGTCGTGGCGCGGCCAGGGGGCGATCGCGGGGCCCAGGACCCCCCCGTGGCGGGTCGAGGGCACGGCTTTGGGCACTCAGAACGCCTACCCCGTTCTATCAATCAATCAATCAATCAATCAATCAATATATCTATCTATCTATCTATATGTATACAAACATGTAAATTCACACAGATACAACGTCCTCTGCATCATGGCCAGATCCGTCCTCATCCTTCCCCCTTCTCCTCCTCCTCCTCCTCCTCCTCCTCCTCCTCCTCCTCCTCCTCACCACCATCATCAACAACATAATCGCCATTATCACATTCGTCCCCGTCCTCAACCTTCCCCTGTTTTCCTCTCCTCGTGTTTCGTGCGCTGGTCTGCCCCATTATTTTGTCCCTCTTGCCACATCGCTCCCGGAATGCACCAGTGCCGCTTTCTAGGTGGGCTCCACGCATTGTCATCGTCCAGAAACTGATGTACACATCAATCGCAGGCGCGCTCCGCGACCGTCAAAATCACCTCCTCTTAAGCCTCCCTCGACTACATAAGACGGCACATTGAGGCCGACACGGCCGCCAATTCGTTGCATCCCCAGCACACCATATGCAACACCCCATTGTCGCCTATTCTCCGATTATCAGATTCCCCCGTATGCTATTCATCCACTTTTCTTCCTCCTCATCCAGATTCCCCCCTCCGTTTCCCCCCTCCTCAATTCCATCGACACGCTGCTAGGACAAACAGTACGGCTGATGCTGCTCCTCAGTCTGCTCCTCCGCTTCCTCCAGAGCAGCATCCTCCACTTCTTGCCTCCTTGCCATCCTCCTCAAACAGACGCTCGTCATCTCCCCATCTTCTCCTCATCGACATCGTCCCTCCCTCCGTCCTCCTCCTCGTCCTCTTCCCCGAATCCTCCCCGCTGTCGGTGTGCAGCGCCTGGCGAGAGGACGCGATGATAGGCTGCATCAGCGCGCGGAACTCGATGGCGTTGAAGAAGATCCCCTCCCCACGGCGGGAAGGGAGGCGCGAGTTGGACGCCCGAATTATCCGGGGTAACTCGGGTCCGGGGTAACTCGGGTTTGGGTTCCCGGAAAACGAACCCGAGTTAGCCCTGACCCGAGTTACCCCTGATGATTCGGGGCTCTGGACGCCCGAGTTATCCGGGGTAACTCGGGTCCGGGATAACTCGGGTTCGGATTCTCGAAAAACGAACCCGAGTTATCCCTGACCCGAGTTACCCCTGATGATTCGGGGCTCTGAGCGAGTGGCTGGCGGCGGCCAGTGTCCGACGGGGGAGGGGGGGAACGGCGGGGCTGCCCCCGGTTGCCTCCGAGCTGTCCTCGGTGCCCCCATCATCGTATTCTCCTCATCTGGCTTATCCTCCTCCTCCTGGCCTTCCTTGCCCTCCTCGTGCCCTGTGCCTCGCCCTCATCCCCATCACCATCATCGTTCTGGTCGTCGCAGTCATCATCCTCCTCGGCAGCTCGCTCCGCAAAATCCTCAACATTCGCATGCCCGTCATCAGCAGAGCCGGCTTATCACTGGCATCGTGACCATCATCCCTCCAACATCGGCATCACCGGTATCCTCCGCGTCCTCCTCCTCATCACCAGCATCATCAACACTTTCATCAGCATCGTGAACAGCACCATGCCACTCGCGTCACTACAACTAGCATCGTGGTCACCATCGGTATCAACACAGTTCACTCCTCAAGGTGCTACTCATCAACCTCATCCCCCTTCTCGTCATCATGGTACCGCTCCTTATCCTGGTCCCCCGTCTCTTTCTCAAAGCCCCCCGTAGATTCACTTTGCGCGGGCACGACGCCTAGGCCTGTAACCTCAGGAAGGCATTAAGAACCCCCCCCCCCCCCTTTTCCGGTGGATTATAACGCCCCCGCACCCTGGAGCGTTATGGCCGCACCGGAAGACCTGGCTGAGGGGACTCGGGGCCTAGCTAAGGCCTGCCAAGCGCAGATTTGCTCCTGCCAAGCAGTTTAGCAGGGCCAAGCAGGGCTTAGCAAGGCTTAGCAGGGCATAGCAGGGCTTAGCAGGGCTTTGCAGGCTTTGCAGGGCTTTGTAGGGCCAAGCATAGCTTAGCAGGGCGTAGCAGGGCTTAGCAGGGCTTAGTAGGGCTTACCAGGGCTTAGCAAGGCTTAGCAGGGCTTAGCAGGGCCTAGCAGGGCTTAGCAGGGCCTAGCAGGGCCAAGCAGGGCTTAGCGGGGCTTAGCAGAGCTTAGCAGAGCCTTAGCAGGGCTTTGCAGTGCCTAGCAGGGCTTAGCAGAGCTTAGCAGGGCCTAGCAGGGCCTAGCAGGGCCTAGCAGGGCCTAGCAGGGCTTAGCAAGGCTCATCAGGGCCTAGCAGGGCTTAGAAGGGCTTAGCAGGGCTTAGCAGGGTTTAGCAAGGCTTAACAGTGCCTAGCAGGTCATAGCAGGGCGTGGCAGGGCTTAGCATGGCTTAACAATGCTTATCAGTGCTCAGCAGGGCTTAGCAAGGCTTAGCATGGTTCAGCAGGGCTTAGCATGGCTTGGCAGGGCTTAGCAGGGCACAGCAGCCCTTGCAGGGCCTGACAGGGCTCAGCAGGATTTAGCAAGGCTTTGCAAGGCTGAGCGGGGCTGAGCAGGGCCTAACAGTGCTTAGCTGGGCTTCGCAGGGGTTAGCCGGGCTTAGCAGTGCCTAGCAGGGCTGAGCAAGTCCTAGCAGGGGGTAGGAGGGCTTAGCAGGGCTGAGGATGGCTTAGCAGGGCTTAGCAGGGCATTGCAGGGCTGAGCAAAGCATAGCGGGGGTCAGCAGGCTTTGGCAGGGCTTAGCACGGCTTACTAGGGCTCCGCAGGGCATATCAGGGCTCAGGAGGGCTCAGCAGGGCTTAGCAGGGCTTTGCAGGGCTGAGCAGGGCCTAGCAGTGCTTAGCTGGGCTTCGCAGGGGTTAGCAGGGCCCAGCAGGGCCGAGCAGGGCGCAGCAAGTCCTAGCAGGGGTTAGGAGGGCCTAGCATGGCTCAGCAGGGCTTAGCAAGGCTTTGCAAGGCCTAGCAAGGCAAGGCTTACCAGGGCGCAACATGGCTTAGCAGGGCTAAGTACGGCTTACCAGGGCTTAGCAACGGCTAGCAGGACTTAGCACGGCTCAGCAAGAAACAGCCAGGAATACCAGGGCTTAGCAGGGAATAGTGCTGCTTAGCAGGGCCTAGCAGGGAATATTAAGGCTTATCAGGGCCTGGCAAGGCCTATCAGGGCCTAGCTTAGCAGGGCTTAGCATGGTCTAGCATGGCTTATCAGGGCCACGTAGGGCTTAGCCAGGCTCAGCAGGGCTAAGCAGGGTTAAGCAGGGGAGGGGGGGGGGGGGGGGCTAAGCATTGCCTACCACAGTTTAGCAAGGTCTAACAAGGCCTAGCAGGGCTCAGCAGGGCTTTGCAGCGCTTATCAAAGCCTACATGGATTTTGCAGGGCTTACCAAGGGTTAGCAAGGCTTGGCAAGGCCTAGCAGGGCTTAGCAAGGCATGGCAGGGCTTCGGAGGGCTTAGCAGGGGCTCACAAGGGCTCATCAAGGCTTAGCAAGGCTCCGCAGGGCTTAGCAGGGCTCAACAGGTCTCAGCAAGTCTTGACAGGGCTTAGCAGGGCTAAGCAGGGCCTGGCAGGGCTTAGCACGGCTCAGCATGGCCTAGCAGGGCTTAGCAGGGCTTAGCAAAGCTTACCAGTGCTAGCAAGCCTTAGCAGGATTTAGCAGGGCTTAGCAGGGCCTAGCAGAGCTTAGCAAGCGTTCGCAAGGCTTACCAGGGCCTAGCAGGGCTTAGCAAGGCTTCGCAGGACTCAGCAGGACTTAGCAGGGCTTAGCAGGGCCTAGCACAGCTTAGCAGGGATTATCAGGGCTTAGTCGGGCCTAGCAGGGCTTAGCACGGCTCCGCAGGGCTTGGCAAAAGCTCCGCAGGTCTTAGCAGGACTCAGCAGAGCTTAGCAGGGCTTCGCAGCGCTTAGCAAAACTCAGCAGGGCATTGCAGGGCTGAGCAGGGCCCACAACTGGTTAGCAGAGGTTAGCAGTGGGTAGCATGCCCTAGCAGGGCTCTTAGCAAATCTGAGCAGCTCTTAGCAAGGCTTCCAGGCAGCAGGGCCTTGCAGGGAATAGTAGGGCTCAGCAGGGCCTGGCCAGGCTTAGCAAGCCCTAGCAGGGCTTAGCAGGGCTTAGCAGTGGTTAGCAGGGCTTACCAGGGCCTACCAGAGCTTAGCAGGGAGTAGCAGGGCTTAGTCGGGCCTAGTAGGGCGTAGCAGGGCTCCGCACGGCATGGCAAGGCTCCGCAGGGTTTACCAGGACTCAGCACAGCTTAGCAGGGCTTTGCAGCGCTTAGCAGAACTTAGCAGGGCTCAGAAGGGCTGAGCAGGGGCTACCACTGGTTAGCAGAGGTTAGCAGTGGTTAGCAGGGCCTAGCAGGGCTCTGAGCAGAGCTCAGCAGCTCTTTGCAGGGCTTACAGGCAGCAGGGTTTTGCAGTGAGTAGTAACGCTTAGCAGGGCCTAGCAAGGTTTAGCAGGCCCTAGCAGGGCTTAGCGGGGCTTAGCAGTGCTTATCAGGGCTTAGCAGGGTCTAGCAAGGCTCAGGAGGGGTTAGCAAGGCTAAGCAGTGCTACGCAGGGCTAAGCAGGGGGGGGGGGGTAAGCATGGCCTACCAGAGTTTAGCACGGCTTAGCAGGTCTTGGCATGGGTTAGCAGGGCTAAGCAGAGCTTAGCTTGTATTATCTTTATACTTTGATATTTCTGCTCAGACATGTCGGGCTGTTTGGAATTTTCGCGTCGTGTGGGTGCTAAGATAACGCGGGGGTGCGTGGAAGGGCGATACCCTGGGCTGGACCTTCCCCTAGGAAGGCCGAGGATATTCTATTTCTCTAAGGGGGGATAAAAGGAATCGCAAAGGAAAAGGAGGGGGAGGAGGAGAAGGAGGAGGAGGAGGGGGAGGAGGAGGAGGAGGACTCGGGTGATCACGACAGGGGCCACTCAGGAACACCACGACGACGACGACCGAGACGACGACGACGACGACCTCGCTCGAGGGCTTTTCGGGTTCCTCCGGTTGCCCTGTGTGGCCCCTCCTCGGGCTCCCGGCCGTCAGGGCGCATCTCCCCCTTGAGCTCCTCCAGAGGCCCCCTCAGGAACTCCGCGACGACGACGACGACGACGACGACGACGACGACGACGACGACGACGACGACGACGACGACGACGACGACGACGGGGGCCGCGGGCGCCGAGGCGACGACGGCTGCGGCGACGGCGACGACGACGACGCAGCGCTCTCGGCTCAGGGTTGCTTCAGGCTTCGACTCTCAGCCGACGGCTCCTCCCGATTTCAGGCTTGCTTCAGGGTTCTTCCACATACAAGATGCAGGCCGAGGCAGTGGCGCTCACGGCGTCAGTGGCTCTCGCGGCGGCGGCCGTGGCGGTGCAGCCACAGGTCGACGTCGTCTTCTCCTCCTTCATTCTTCCTTCTCCGTCGTCTTCTCCTCCTCCTACTTCAGACATCCTCCCTAGCTCAGGTCAGCGAGAGTCTCGTGCCGATCATCGGCCTCGCGCTCCTCGCCTACGCCATCTTCCTGCTCAGGAAGATGCTCAGCGCCGCCGAAAGCAGCTGCTACATCAGCGACAACATCAGCCGCAGGTGCAGCTTCATCGAGCGTCGGTTGATGGGCCTGGAGTTCTCTCCATGGGAGACTCAGCGGCAAATCGCCGCAGCGATCCAGGAGTGGGACATGGCTCAGGACCAGTGGTACGCATCCCGTCAGGCCTTTCAGTATCTCAGTCGGTACTCCAGGAATTTCCTGCAGCGCACGAGTCAGATGCCGTCGGCGGTTCAGCTCTCCATCATCGCCAACAAGGCGTTCGAGGAGTCAGGCGAGCTTGCTTCAGGCACGAAACTCACACTGATGAGGCAGCAGCTCAGCAACAGCTGGGCCGATCAGTTCCACGGTCAGGGTCCGGCCTACGATGCTTCAGCGACACTCAGCTCCAGTTTGGCTCAGCTGACTCCGCACGAGATCGTCGACTTCTTCGGCTTTCAGTAGCCGTCAGGACTCTTGAGCCTCACGAGTGAGGAGCAGCGCTCCGCCGGGACTCTCCTCCCCCTCCTCCTCCGCCTCCTCCTCCTCCTCCTCCTCCTTGTCCTACTTTTCGCCTCCCTCCTCCTCCTCCTCCTCCTCCTCCTCCTCCTCCTCCTCCTCCTCCTCCTCGTCCTCCTGATTCCTTCTCTCTCTCTCTCTCTCTCTCTCCCTCTCCCCCTTCTCCGCCTTCGGTTCAGCGCGGCTTCAGGTTTTTTGCATGCCTGGTCAGCTGCCCGCCAGGCCTTCTGCTGCTATCGGGTCAGCGTTCAGGACCTTGAGAGGGTTAACGGTCAAACCCTCACCGCTTGCGAACGCCTCAGGGATAAGCTGCTGCGTTGGGTATTCGTCGTCGTCGTCGTCGTATTCGTATTCGTATTCATATTGCTATTCCTATTCGTATTCGTGTCCGTACTCGTATTCGTATTCGTAGTCGTAGTCGTATTCGTATTCGTATTCGCATTCGTACTCGTACACCTATTCGTATTCTTACTCTTACTCGTATTCGTACTCATTCGTTACTCGTATTCCTATTATTCTTATTCGTATTCCTATTCGTACTCGTATTCGTATTCTTACTCGCATTCGTACTCGTTAGGGACTTCTTGCTTCGCATAGTCGTCGTCGTCGTCGTTCTTGCTTCGCATCGTCGTCGTCGTCGTCGTCGTCGTCGTCGTGTTCGTGCTCGTATTCGTATTATTACTCTTATTCGTGTTCTTACTCGTATTCTTACTCGTATTCGTATCGCGTTCTTATTCCTATTCGCATTATTATTCTTATTCGTATTTCTATTCGTACTCGTATTTCTATTTGCATTCTTACTCTTACTCTTATTCGTACTCGTATTCCTTACTCGTATTCTTATTATTACTCTTATTCGTATTCATATTCGTACTCGTATTCGTATTATTACTCGCATTCGTATTCGTACTCTTACTGTTACTCGTATTCTTACTCGCAATATTATTCTTATTCGTATTATTATTCTTATTCCTATTATTATTCGTACTCCTAGCTCAGCCGCCAAGACTGAGGTTCCTTAGTTTCTGTTAGAGTTTCCTTAGTTTCTGTTAGCTTTTCCTTAGTTGTTCTCTGGTTTTGTTTCGTTTCTGTTAGGTTTTCCTTCGTTTCTGTTGGCTTGTCCTGAGTTTTCTGTTAGCGTTCCCTTGGTTTCTGTAAGCTTGTCCTTAGTGTCTGTTAGATTTTCCTTAGTTTGTGTTCGCTGTTCCTTAGTTTCTCTTAGCTTTTCCTTAGCTTTGCTTCGGTTTTGCTTCGTTTCTGTGAGCTTCTCCTTGAGACTCTTAGTTTTTCTTGGTTCCCTTACTTTGTCTTAGCTTTGGTTTGGTTATCTTTAGTTTTCTTTAGATTGTTCTTGGTTTTCTCCTGCTCTCTCAGTTTTTCGCAGGTCATCAGTTTGTCTTAGCTTTTCTTTGGTTTCCCTTCGCGTCCCCTCTGGGGATTATTGATATAGGACGGTGCTAAGATAACGCTGTCGGTGCGGGGCGGGGGGATGCCCTGGGATGGACTCCCCCCTAGGAAGGCCGACGAAAGCCTATTTCTCTAAGGGGGGTGCAAAAGGAATCGCAAAGGAAAAGGAGGAGGGGGGGAGGAGGACGAGGGGGAGGAGGAAGAGGAGGAGGAGGAGGAGGAGGAGGATTTTAGCTTTGTTTACTTCTCAGGAGGACGTCTCCGGTCCCTTCTCGGGCCTCCTCAGGTTGCCCTGTGTGCCCTTTTTCCTTGGTTTTTGCCTTAGCTTATCCTTTCACTACGAGGAGGAGGAGGAGGAGGAGGAGGAGGAGGAGGAGGAGGAGGAGGAGGAGGAGGAGGAGGAAAAGCTGAGAAACATTAAGAAAGCACAAGAAAAGCTGAGTTGTGCCTGAATTGTGGGTCAGGGACTTGAGCAGTGCCTGGGTTGCGTGTCAGAGTCCAGAGCAGTCCTCCGCCGGTCGATGCTGCAAAACACCCTCCGCTGGTGCACCCTCATACTTTCCCTCACCCCATAACTCATCCTTCTCCTGGCTCCGTGGCCTATCTCGCTCCTCTCATGGGGTGGCCCCCCACCTCACCCCCCTCCATACGACGAACGAGGAGGAGGAGGAGGAAAAGCTGAGAAACATTAAGAAAGCACAAGAAAAGCTGAGTTGTGCCTGAGTTGTGGGTCAGGGACTTGAGCAGTGCCTGGGTTGTGTCAGAGACCAGAGCAGTCATCCGCCGGTCGATGCTGCAAAACACCCTCCGCTGGTGCACCCTCATCCTTCTCCTTACCCCATACCTCATCCTTCTCCTGGCTCCGTGGCCTATCTCGCTCCTCTCATGGGGTGGCCCCCCACCTCACCCCCCTCCATACGACGAACGAGGAGGAGGAGGAGGAAAAGCTGAGAAACATTAAGAAAGCACAAGAAAAGCTCAGTTGTGCCTGAGTTGTGGGTCAGGGACTTGAGCATTGCCTGGGTTGTGTGTCAGAGACCAGAGCAGTCCTCCGCCGGTCGATGCTGCAAAACACCCTCCGCTGGTGCACCCTCATCCTTCTCCTCACCCCATACCTCATCCTTCTCCTGGCTCCGTGGCCTATCTCGCTCCTCTCATGGGGTGGCCCCCCACCTCACCCCCCTCCATACGACGAGCGAGGAGGAGGAGGAGGAGGAGGAGGAAAAGCTGATAGTAGTAGTAGTAGTAGTAGTAGTAGTAGTAGTAGTAGTAGTAGTAGTAGTAGTAGTGCGTAAAAAAACAAAAGGCGACAAGCACGACCTAAACAGTCGTGTGCGTACGGTGATCCGCTTCCCCTCATGGGGGCCATAGCCGCTCCCACCGATGAGCCAGGGCCGGCCGAGTAAACGTCACCACATTCAGGGGGGAGGAAGAGGAAGAGGAAGAGGAGGAGGAGGAGGAGAAGAGGCGAGAGAATCCTGTCAAAGTGATAGTAGTAGTAGTAGTAGTAATAATAATAGTAGTAGTACTAGTAGTGTTATTTTTATTATTATTAGTAGTAGTAGTAGTAGTAGTAGTAGTCGTAGTAGTAGTAGTAGTAGTAATAGTAGTGATAGTAGTAGTAGTCGTAGTAGTAGTAGTAGTAGTAGTAGTAGTAGTAGTAGTAGTAGTAGTAGTAGTAGTAGTAGTAGTAGTGTTATTATTATTATTATTATTGTTATTATTATTAGTCGTAGTAGTAGCAGTAGTCGTAGTAGTAGTAGTAGTAGTAGTAGTAGTAGAAGTAGTAGTAGTAGTAGTAATCGTAGTCGTAGTAGAAGTAGTAGTTTATGTTAGCTGTTCCTTACTTTTTCTGTGGTTTTGCTTCGTTTCTGTGAGTTTTTCTTCAGTGTCTGTTAGCTTCTCATTAGTTTGTGTCAGCTTTTCTTTAGTTTATGTTAGCTCCTGGTTGCATTCCTGTAGTTTTCTGTGCGTTTCTTTGGTGTCCTTACTTTGTCTTAGTTTTTCTTTGGCCACCTTTCGCTTCCCATCTGGGCATTATTGATATGGTAGGGTGCTAAGATAACGCGGTCGGTGCGGAGAGGGGGGATACCCTGGGCTGTACTCCCCCCTAGGAAGGCCCAGGACAGTTGGTTTCTGTAAAGGGGACGCAAAAGGAATCGAATAGGAAAAAGAGGAGGGGAGGAATAGGAAAAGGATGGGGGAGGAGGAGACGGGGGGAGGAGGAGGAGGAGGAGGAGGAGGCGGATGTTAGCTGTGTCTTCGTTTTCTCAGCTATTCCTTGGTTCTCTTCCGTTGTCTTCGCTTTTGTGTGATTTGTTGTAGCTTCCTCTACCTTTTCTTTGGTTTTATATTGCTCTTTCATTTCTTTTCTTTCTTTATTTTATTTGGTTTTGGTTCGTTCTGTATTCGCACTCTTACTCTTAGTGTTTTTCGTGTTCGTTCTTCTTCGTGCTCGTGTTCTTATTCGCGTTCGCGTTCGTATTGTTATTGTTATGAGAGGAGGAGTAGGAGGAGGAGGACGGGGAGGAGGAGCAGGAGCAGGAGGAGGAGGAGGAGGAGGAGGAGCTAGGAAGCAGTAGGAAAACACAGGAAAGTCAGAGTTGTGCCTGAGTTGTGGGCCAGGGAATTGAGAAGTGCCTGGGTCGTGGGTTAGACACTGGGTTGTGCCTGGGTTGTGCCTGGGTTGGATTAGAGACTCGAGCAGTGCCTGGGTTGTGGAACAAAGACTGGAGCAGTGCCTGGGTTGTGGGTGAAAGACTGGAGAAGCCCCTCCGTCTCTTCACCAGCTTCCGTAGCCGTCGTGGCTCAGTAGGCCTAAGGTAGATCAAGTCTGTTGGGTTCAAGCTTGTCAGCCAGAGCTCATGGAAGGCCTCCTCAGCTGCTTTGTGCTCTGGTCAGCCTTTTGCGCCTTCCTCGGTTTCGTCGCGGGGTCGCGCTGCTGCAGGCGGGCCAGCGTCGCGTCGTCAGGCGCTCTCTCGGAGGTCGCGGCTGAGAAGGAGGCGGTCAGCGTTTCGAAGGAGGCGGTCAGCGATGCTCTTCAGCCAGTACTCAGAAACAAGCAGGGCCGTCACGTCCAGGCAGTGTACCACACGATTTCAGAGCAGACGATGGTTCACGCATCGCCTGGTTGCCAAAGGCTTCAGGGAGCGGTGAAGCTCGTGGTCAGGCGAGAGGTGTGCTCTGTGTGCTTCCCCGACAAGCGCCGGCTTTGAGGCGCCCGTCTGTCCAGGGTCAGGCGGGAGGTGTGCTCAGTGTGCTTCCTCGACAGGCGCCGGCTTGGAGGCGCCCGTCAGTTTTCAGATGTTGCATATGTTCCGTCGAGTTGCGCAGCGACAAATGAACCCAATCCACGGGGCCCTTTCCCTGTCCCCCCCTCCTCTTCGCCGCTCAGGTCCTCCTGGCCGCTCAGGCCCCCCTTGCCGCTCAGGCCCCTGGTAAGCCCCTGCTGAGAAAAACTCAGAAAACCAATGAAAACTGAGAGAGCCAAGGAAATCACGGAAACGCAAAAGAAAACCTGAGGAAAGCAACAGAAAAGC